GAAAATGGGGTGACCCGTTCTTAATTTGACCAATAAAAAACTTGTGATAACGTCATCAACATGGATAATTCTAGTCACAACATAAAAGAAAAGTAGTCACAGCGTTACACCAATGCAAAAAAAAAAGGTAAGGGCATCGGCATCGAACCACAATCGCAATACCGCAGGTCGTCGTTCTCTGCGATACATCCACTGCGCCACGGAGACGTTTAAACCGTGTCGGGAATAAAACGTTATTATACCTTGCAAAATGTTTTTGCGAAAACTTGAACGTTTAGTGAACAAACTGAAAGTGGATTCGTACACTACAAGTATATGAGTATATTTTTGGTTAGCATATAACCATCTGCATGATATTTCTAATATACATACAAAATTTGACAACAATCGGTCCAGCAGTTTCGGAGATTACGTGTCTAATGAAAAGGGATACAGACAAACAGACAGACAGAAACGAAAGACTACTTTTTTTGTACCTTCGCTCACGCTCGGGAAGTAAAAACATGAAATTAAAAATGTATGTGCATGTTTATACATTATCCCAGGCGTTTAATCGTTTTTTGCTGAAAACATGCCGTGTTTTCCGTCATTTTGGTTCAGTCATTATTCGACCCCACTTTAAAGAAACCCAACTTAAGCCATTCCGAGACAAGCTAAATTATACTTATAAAGCAGCGGAGAAACCGTTTTTAAAAGTTTCCTTTATATGAAATAGCTTTTGGTTATCGTTGTTTTTATTCGATAGGCAATAAACAAGTTGGCAAAGAAATTTGTCTTCAATCTAGGCAGCATTATATCTTTTAGTTTCGGTTTCATGGAATAAATGAAAAGTTCCCGTCTCTAACAAACTCCGGCAAAGTTTCTAACGAAGTTCAGTGGTTTCACCTTAGATTAGTCAAATTACGAAACAACTTGTCACTCTTCTGCTATTTTATCCACATACACAACCCCCATAAACAAACACCCAAATAAGTAAATCAGAACGAGGTTTCGTCCCGTAAACACACACCCTGTTTTAATATTCAGTTCGGAACTATTAAACCTCCAGCACACCACAAATCGGTCAATATGAAACTTCACGTAGTTTACTTTCCCTTTATGTGTAGGTCACAATCGTATCTCGCCTTTACTATGTCAACATTATCATCACAGGTATTAATACCGAAATGATTAATTAATTCACTCCTTCTCCCCGAAAATTCTGCTGGAAACACTCCCGAACATAAATAGGGTCAGTTGTTGAAAATTGGATGACTCAATTAAATTAAACAGGTATCGATGTTGGAAAGTCTATCAGCAAATGAATTTTTAAAGGGTTCACGCGACACAAATATATTTTTTTAATCTTCCAATTTCGAGTTTATTTTTTTACGTGCATCTTTTACGGGAACGATTTTGTGAAAAATTGATTTTCTAACTGCTTTGTATTCAAGAGTGCTAATGTGCGTTTTCCCGGATGGATAACAAATCAAATGTAAGTGGAATAAAAGGAAAGAATTTCGGACGGATGCACACTTTCATTTCCGTTTACCACGAATGTGTTGGTGTTTTATGTTCTCTGATAATAGAGGGTTTTCTTCGTTCGGGTCACCAGATTGTTTAATTAACTGTTCGCACTTTCATTTTCTTTACGTTTTAAATATTTAAATTTTTCTTGTAGTCTTGGCCATTATAGATTATTTAGCTCCGTGAATGCTGCTTTTATTCAGTTTTTACGACGCAAGTTATAATTTTCTTTTTATTATCAATACAATTTCCAGTTGTTCATATTTTCTTATTTTTATTACAGTGTTTATTCTTTGTCTGTACGTCCGTCTGTCCGTCTGTCTTCCGATGTATAAACATAAACACTTTCAAGTTGTTTTTCTTATCGAAGATAACCTAGGGACGTACAGTAATGGAGTCCATCGGGCAATTTGGTACTTTTATATTTTCTCGATATTTCATAACCCCTGGACGAGGGCGTAGGTAGGGGGAGGCTAGGGGATGCTGAGCCTCCCCTAGATATAGATAAGTTATAATTAACCAAATGTAAATTCCAACATCGAAAATCAAAATAAAATGTAGTGTTTTATTCAATAAGCGGTAGTCAGAGCAATAAAAAAGTCTGGACCCTTCGGCATTGTCATCTGGTTATTGCAATTCGTAGAAAACGTCTTTTACTTTAGATTCTGTTTCACTCTCACCATAAATGATTTTCAGTTCAGTCTTCAGTCGCACATCTGTTAATACATACGGCAGACGTGATTAAATTGTTTCGTTTCCATTAAAAAAAAAATAAAATTCGCAAAATCAAATCTTTTAATTTTTCGAAAGAGATGGATTTGACAAGCTGTACTTTATGGGCGAGGGAAGTTCTGTCGAAGTAATCTTCGACCAATTTTTTAATTTATAGGTTTTATAAAAAAAATAAAATTTGCAAAATTAAATTTTACAATTTTTCGAAAAATCTATATTATTGGCCTGTACCTCAGAAGCGAGGGAAGTTCTGTCTAAATATTATTATAAGGAAAGTACTTTTGATATACTGCAAACAACATTGAATGTAATTTCATTAGGAATTTGACGCCATAGTTTAAGTTAGTAATCACTGCACAATAGTTTCGCCTTGGTGTTAAATACTTCTCAACTTGTCATCAAATTTGCTTTTAATAGGAGAGAATTGGGCAGACTGAAATAGGAGAATGTCTATATTGGGGTTTACAGAGGAAGTTCTTAAACGATCTTCTTGTATATTTTTCTTATGAAAGGATTTTATTTCACTAGATTCTCTTTTTTTTTCAGAGTTGTAAGGAAAAGTGGAAAAAGTGCGTATATTCTCAATAATATAAAAGTGGTATTTGTTACGGAACACAAGACACACAAAAGTGATTATACCAAGTCCTCAACTATATAATCGCTTATCAATACGTCATCATAACGAAGCGCGCTTCACTGCCATTGGTTGACTTTCTAATAAATTGTATAATCACTATTATCTTTGAAACAGTGAAGCAATTCTCTAACCGGACAATAACCCTTAATAACACAGTGTTCTGTTCATAGCCTGTAAGTTTCATTTCCAGCAATTAACTCCAATATTTTTATCACTGGTGACACAGATTGCAGCAACGATTGAACGGACGATAAAACTCCCTCCTAAAATAAGAAATTTCAAAAACCACAAACATAAAATTTACGCTTAAATGAAATTGGAAAATTCTCTAATATCCTGTTGTATCTGTAATAAAGAAAACACTTCGACACCCCATTGATTTATTTCACTTTTTCGCTTCCAATGCACGAAAATAAATAAGCAAAGCGTTCACTCCGAACTAAAATGTTTTTTTAAGCCATCCACCCACACTGGTTATGTATAGCTGCGATAAAACGCTTACACACCCCAATCGACTCATCCCTTTAAAGATGCGCAAGATGTCGAACCGTTTTGAGCTTAATTAAAAATCGAATTCCCCATTTTTATCTAAATTAATAATCAGCGAAATGATCAAACTTGTCACGTATAATCCCCGGCCGTTATTCCGAGTCATATTAAAATAATTCGGCGGATTTTCCCCCTTGGAGATCGATTAGTGTCGCGATGAAAGCAACAATTTCGTGTACGAAACGCACAATGAAAGCTCGGTTGTGATGTAATAAAGCGACTTTTTGGTAGGGTCGACATGCGGTTAGCTGACAAAAGGATGACGCCGATATCCCGCAGAGATCGCTAAATATCTTGTCACTGCGTAACTGAATAAACCACGGGAAAAGGACCTCACGCGGAGGATTCGGGGCCCCCGAACGCTACCGTTGCGTTCTCAGAGGGGCCAGTGTTTACGGGGCGTAATTAAAAGACGGATTTATGGGGGCTCCGAATTACCAATCGATTGAGAATTTCACTTTTCTTTAACACGTTTTAAAAACAATATTTAGAAAAACTTTTACATCCGACGCAAGAAAGGTTTTTCAGCGTTCGTGTTAATATCGAGGAAGAACATGGCTGCCTGGGCATAAAAAATGCATCTAGTAGACGGTTAACGAACTGTATATTGGCCTTAAAGACTTTAAATGCGGTCGTTTTCTTATATGAGACCAGCGACAACAGTCTTTAGATTACAAAAAAACTTGACTGTAAATGTTTTCTAGATCAATACGACAAAAATAATTCCTTTTTTAAAATTTTGCAAACACATAAATGTCTAAAATCGAAAAATTCATTTACCAACACACCTTTATTATAACTTGTACATGTAATTTGAAACTCCACCATTTAGATAATGTCTCTGAAATGAACGTTTTGTGCTTTTATTTCTAAAGACTACTTAGAAAACCACTTACAACCACCATGTCACGTGATATCCACTAAGTACACTATTTGAGTCCCTGCCATCAGGTGCACTTAGCTCGATGTGATGTATGAGGTTATTCTAAAATTGGTCACACTAATAAAAAGACAACAATGATTGATAGCTCTTAAAATATAGTTAAAAATGCACATATCAAGTGTCGTCAATATGTACCGACATGCATCTACGGGTATTTTGTTATGGTTAAATTCTGACATGTTTGAGATTCATGTCGTATATCAGTTTGACAAGATTAATCGCTTTTCCCTTGACATTATTTTGTTGTGTATTCTTACGCATGTAAGTAATTATAAAAAAAAATAGCACTGAGTAGGAACACAAGTTGTATTTTTTGCAACGATAATTTTAGTTTAATAGTATTGCGCGCCATCTAGGTGTAAGAAGCTAAAAATATATTTTTTGTCAAGCTGGAACCTTACACGTGACAAAGCAGTTTCCTTTAGATTTTGCCTTTAGCAGAAAAGTTTTAAAATGTTGCATTAATTTTAAAAGAAAGTGAAAAAAATAACAACATATCTCGATTGATTACTAAAGGTCGCTGTGTTTACGGATAAGTCTGTTTGTGCAGCAGACGGGACTCGAACAAATTACAGATAATGAGAAATTCAAAAGATAAATATTCTGAGCACAAAACGAATAAAACAACAGATACAAATATCCAGCGTCTTTATTTGAATAACTACATACAAAAGTAACAAAGTTCATGCCAAGCATACAAAGATAACAAAACACGACTTTACCCAGACGATATTATAAAACATTGAATAATTTTATTCTCTAGGGTCATCGATCAGGTGGTACTTTTACGCCCGTATTTGTACTGTAATTTTAACTGACCCACTTTTGTGATGCTACTCATTCCTGGTATCCACTCGATTAGGAACGGATTATTGGTGTTATCACTTTCGTCCACAGTTGACTGTCCTACGTTTAAGAAAAAAATAAAACTAGTCTGACAAGATACGTTGTCGTGGTCTTCGTATTCGACATAACCTTTCTGGTTGTCGTGGATGAATCGTTTGGAGATTTTAAGTTTTACCTGCAAAATTATTAAACCATTAAAAATTGTTAATTTTAATATTTAAAAATTTTTAACATGTCTTAACTTTCTTGTTGTGAAAAGAAGACTACGTATATTAAAAAAAAAGAGCACAATATAAGCCCCACCCATCTACCCTATCTCAATTGTGATGATTTTTTTATTCATCATGAGTCGCGGGGCGGAGTTTAATTACAAAAGCTTCATTTCTCTACAAAAATTTACCACATGAAACATGTTCTTAAGTAATTGCGTTGTTCAAAGAAACTTAAATGCATTAAGTAAAAAAGAAAGCTAAACAATAAACCCCACCTTTGAGATCTCAATTGTAATTAATTTTTCATTCGTTTACAGACCGAGGGGCGGAGCGTAATTGCAAAATTCCTATTTCCCAACAAAAATTTACTTTTGAACATGTTTAATTTTCTTGTTGTGAAAAGAAAACTGCGTATATTTAAAAAAGGGCACAATATGAACCCCACCCACCCGCCCTATCTCAATTGTGATGATTTTTTTATTCATCACGAGTCGAGGACCGGAGCTTAAATACCAAATCTTCATTTCTCTACAAGAATTTACCATCTGAAACATGTTCTTAAGTAATCACTAATCGTGTTGTTCAAAGAAAACTATGTTTAATAATTAAAAAAGAAAGGTAAAGATTAAACCCCACTTCTACTCCTTCCGCGATCTCAATTGTAATAAACTTTTCATTCGTTGTCAGACCGAAGGGCGGGGCGTAATTGCAAGATCCCTATTTCCCAACAAAAATTTAGCATTCTGAACATGTTTTAACTTTCTTGTTGTGAAAAGAAGACTACGTATATTTGAAAAAAAGCATAATATGAGCCCCGCCCACCCACCCTATCTCAATTGTGATAATTTTTTTATTGGTCATGAGTCGGCGGGCGGAGTTTAATTACAAAAGCTTCATTTCTCTACAAAAATTTACCATGTGAAACATGTTCTTAAGTAATTGTGTTGTTCAAAGAAAACTATGTCTAATAATAATTAAAATAGAAAGCTAAAGATTAAACTCCACTTCTACCCCTTCCACGATCTCAATTGTAATGAATTTTTCATTCGTTCTCAGACCGAGGGGCGGAGCGTAATTGCAAAGTCTCTATTTCCCAACAAAAATTTACCATTCTAAACATGTTTTAACTTTTTTGTTGTGAAAAGAAGACTACGTACATTTAAAAAAGGGCATAATATAAGCCCCGCCCACCCGCCCTAGCTCAAGTATGATGATTTTTTTATTCGTCATGAGTCGGGGGGCGTAGTTTAATTGCAACAGCGTCATTTCTCTACAAAAATTTACTATATGTGAAACATGTTCTTAACTTAACCAATTGTGTTGTTCAAAGAAAGTTCTATGAATTAAATAAAGTAGAAAGTTAAACATTAAACTCCACCTATACCCCCTTCGAGATCTGAATTATAATAAATTTTTCATTCGTTATCAGACCGAGGGGCGGAGCGTAATTGCAAAATCCCTATTTCCCATAAAAATTTACCATTTTGTACATCTTTTAACTTTTTTTGCTATGAAAAGAAGACTACGTATATTTAAAAAGGGCCATAATATAAGCCACGCCCACCCGCACTATCTCAATTGTGATGATTTTATTCATTCGTCATGAGTCAAGGGGCGGAGCTTAAATGCCAAATCTTCATTTCTCTACAAAAATCTATCATGTGAAACATGTTCTTAAGTAATCGTGTTCTTCAAAGTAAACTATATATATGTAATAATCAGACTTCGGCATTGCGGAAGTAATGATCATTGGCGTGCGATCGTCAGCGCTATTGCAGTCGTGACCTACAATTTCGGGAATTCTTAATAACAGTTACTACTTTTTCCCGGTTTTCCTCAGTTATACGAGTTTTTCTAAATGTTAAAATGCTTTAAAAATTAAAAATGACTGTTCAACATCACAATTTTCGTGATGATCTTGATTAGATAAACCCTGATTTGCATCAAACGCCACTGAGGTTGAGACGTAGTTGAGACGGCACAGTCGGCCAGCCAAATTTATCGCCTGACGTCGCGCCATCGTTTTTAATATTTGTTTGGTTGATTGCCCATCACTTCGGCTGTGCCTAACTCTGGTAATAATTAAAAAAGAAAGGTAAAGATTAAACCCCACTTCTACTCCTTCCGCGATCTCAATTGTAATGAATTTTTCATTCGTTGTCAGGCCGAAGGGCGGGGCGTAATTGCAAAATCCCTATTTCCCAACAAAAAATTACCATTTTGAACTTGCTTTAACTTTCTTGTTGTCAAAAGAAAACTATGTGTATTTAAAAAAAAGGGGCATAATATAAGCCCCGCCCACCCACCCTCTCTCAATTGTGATGATTTTGTTATTCGTCATGAGTCTGGGGGCGGAGTGTAATTACAAAAGCTTCCTTTCTCTACAAAAATTTACCATGTAAAACACGTTCTTAAGTAATTGTGTTGTTCAAAGCAAAAAAAAAGCTAAACATTAAACCCCACCTATACCCCTTCGAGATCCCAATTATAATAAATTTTTCATTGGTTGTCAGACTAAGGGGCGGAGCTAATTGCAAAATCCCTATTTCCCAACAAAAAATTACCATTTCGGACTTGTTTTAACTTTTTTGTTGTGAAAAGATGACTACGTAGATTTAAAAAAAGAACATAAGATGAGCCCCGCCCACCCGCCCTATCTCAATTGTGATGAATTTTTCATTCGTTGTTAGTCCGCGGGGCGGAGCGTAACTGCAAAATCCCTATTTAAAATTTGAGTTTTGTAAAATGTCAAAAATTTAATTTGTCCGCAGCATATTTGTATTTAGTATTTATTAAACCGCGTTCATTACAAATTCAAACTTTAAAAATAGGTGTAAAGTTATTTAGACAGAATGTTTAGGTGTAATTAAAAATTACTCATCAGTATCCCTGAGAACCGAAATTATTAATAACATTTTTTTGTCCAAAAGAGGTAAATCCTAAAAATGTGTGTGATTATCTGCTAAAGTTGGGGAGACTGTAGCGATTTAACCGTGCTCGCTGCGCTCGTATACAAAGGGTCCGTTTTTTTTAAATCTAATTTATTCAAAATTACTCGTCGTGTCCCTGGGAATCTAAATTACTCCTAATATTATTAATGAGATATTTTTTTTGTGTCTAAAAAAGTGCGTTTTGTAGTTTCAATTTTTTTTTTTTCAAAAATCTTCATGTTTAGGTTAAAAACTCAACACTGATTTATAAACCACAATTTAAATAATATGTACATGTATCAGCCTGGCAGTTTCGGAGATCATTTGTCTAAGAAAAATCTGGACAGACGGCAGACAGACAGGCAGACAGACGGAAACGGTGGACCTATTTTTTCGTACTCTATAGGTGATGATGGACTCGTTTACTTCTTTAGCTTACGCTCAGGATGTAATAATAATAAAAAATAAAAAACTGCATCTCATATACCGAATATTACTTACATCAGACGTATCAAAAATTTCCTTCAAATGTAGAATATTCATAATCCGGTAATTATGAGAAGTATAAAGTTCATTCTCTTTGTACACACTTGGAATTCTCTTCTTAAACTCGTCATAAAAGTTCTACAAATATATTATAATATTAAAAACTAAATATAAAGTAACATTACTAACCTCTGGAATGTAAAAAACCAAACTATTTAAATTCCCATAATTTTCGAACTGCATCGTCTGATTAATCGACTCTGTCACATACGTCAACCACTCCAAAAACGTCCAAGAAGTCACTTCCGTGGTACTAACTTCCGCCGTCTGTTCGTTATTCTCCAGAACTTTTATCTCAACGGGAAAAATATTCGGTGCTAGCTTTTTATATTTTTTGAAAGAGCGTCTGATTGCTTTGTTGTGCACTTTCAATTTCGTAATTTTCTCAGAAACTTTAGTACTCCCATTTTTTGAAAAACCGCTACCACCCGTAGCAAGTGTTGGTCTAAGAGCTGCCGGCTCCTGGTCCTTTGAAAGCTCAAAGTTGGTAAAGTGCACAAATTCTTGAGAAAATTTTGGATCACTTGCTAGGGCACAAATACAAGCGTAATAGTGGATACACTTTAGACGAACGTTGCTGGATTTGCTTATAATGCCTGAAACTATGTATAATCAATGAAAAATACTCCTAAATATATATAACCCAAAAACGTACCCATAAATTCAGTGCAACTGCAGTAGTATTTGTCGTAAATTTCTCTACCCTTAGTACAACCAAAAGTAAAATGTAGATACCCTAATGGGTGCTTAGGTGACACTTGGCACTTCACCGCCATCACCGTCCTTGATACCCTCTGCACCAAAGCTCCTTCTTTCTCCGTAGCCAACAACCACAACTTCGCCTTAATTTCTTTGGACACTTTCAAACAACTCAAAATCTCCTTTTTGAACTCAACTGGTGTAGCCATATTTTGACTCTTGATGGCTGAGTCAATATGTACACACAACAAAGAAGTGTTATTTTGCTCCAGTTCGTGACATTTAAGAATCGAGTCATCGAAGAGCCTCTGACACGAATCAACAAAACACAGGGCGTTTTCAGAAAGCACGCTCTTATCTTGCTCGTGCGATGGTAGCAACGGTAACTGAACGAACCCACGATGGTCTGGTCCCCTATCTCTCACCTAGATTTTCCCCTTTTTTTTGAAAACATACATTCAAATTTGAAAAACTTACTCTCACAGAGTACACTTGTCGCACGATTCCCACAAGACGTACAGCATCCAAACTCACTTTTCTCTTGTCGGCGTAGTCTTTGAAAACGGCGTCGCAACGTTTGTTCTTGCAGATCATGCCACGAGTACCGTTGTAGACCCCACATTTTGGACACTTTTTGATACCTCGTTTGGTCGGACGGCCTAAATTTGATAAGATTTTGCTCGTTTCGGATACTGTGGGTAAATATGTGTAAATGGAGTGCGTTGGCAACTCGTTCATCCCGGATTTGGAACACTGAATAGCGCAGGCTAAAAATAAAGTCGAGCGGATGGGGATACAGGGGAGTCTTGTTTTTATTTGTAGGTTTTTTTTTTCTCATTTACAATAGTTTCTTATTTTTTTATACGGTTGTAAGGTTGTTATAATTTTTTTTGAATAAGAAAATACTAGAGTGTATAAAATTATTAACGAAATTTAATTTAAAAAAAAAAAAACAAAATGAAAGAGGTACCTAAGACCCCTAAATAGCCATCCCGCGATCTTCTAGCCACCTTTACCCTATCAATCAATACACATTATCATACACCAAAAACAAAGTACATGTAAATACAATAGCACCCACTCTTATCCATTTATCAGCATGCATCGACAAGTGCATTGAAACCACACAATTGAACAATAACCATTCACCGTCGGTAGTGGGGCCATAGTCCATCGCCACCTTACCATTACTCAGTACCACTCACAGGAACCATGACTCAAGACGCCTCCACGCGTCAATTCTGTGCCGAAATCCTCAACGAAACCGCCGAAACCCGCACCGAAGCCCTCACAACCCTCAAACAATGGGCCTCCAACAACCCCCAACTCCACATCAACGCCGACGACGACTCCCTCATCCCCTTTCTGCGGGGCTGCAAGTTCGATATACCCCGAACCCAGAAAAAGCTCACCGACTACTATACCATGAAAAGAGACATCCCGGAGTGGTACGCCAATCGCGATCCCACCCTGCCCCAAATCCAGGACCTAGTGAAACTCGGAGTTTTTGTTCCGTTGAAAGACCACCACGAGAATCAGCTGGTCGTGATTATTAGAACAGCGGCGCATAATCCGAGCATCCATAAACAAGATGATGTGTTCAAGGCGGGAAATATGGTTCTGGATGTGGCGACGAAGGACGATGAAATGGCGCAGATTTATGGGATTATTGCGATTTTTGATATGACGGGGGTGGGGCTGGGGCATGCGAGGCAGATGACACCTGGGATTATTAAGAAAGCGGTGAGGTCGTGGCAGAATTATCATTGTAGACCGAAGAGGTTGGAGTTTATTAATGCGCCGGTTTATATTAACGTGGTTTTGAGCATCTTCAAAGGGTTTATGAGTGACAAGTTGAAAAGCAGGGTTCAGGTGCATTATACGAATTATAAGATTGTCCCTAAGGAGATCTTGCCCAAGGAGTATGGGGGTGACGGTGAGAGTTTGGAGGACATTATCAACTATTGGCACGGGAAATTGCTAGAGAATGTGAAGTGGTTTGACGAAGATGAGAAATTTAGAGCCGAATGACCAACCAAAAATATTAGATCAAATTTCGTTTTTGTGGTTTATTTTTTGCTGTATGTATTTGTTTGTAACGTATTATTTATTTGTCTTTTTTTTAATAAAACAATATTTTTATGTTGTCATCTGGCTTTGAAACAATTCTTTAACAGTCAGATTAAAATTGCTTACCCAATTTTTCTGAAATTTTGGAAATCGGAAAGTACAGTAATAATAGTAATAATGAAGAAATATTGAATCCATATTCATGAATTTTCTGATTTATTCCTAACTGTACGTGTTAAAAATACTATAATTTAACGAGAAACGGCAAATAAGCAGAAATTTATGCTGTACTGCTTCTAGTGGTTTCACACACTAATTTTACCAAGAATTTTATACCATTAAAGTTATATAGAAGATAGTTTTCTATAAATCTTACATCCATATATGTAATTATATTTTAAAATCAACCACAAACAACATAATATAGCGTTTTGAGTAACCTGATGAATATCGTTTAAGAACAAAATAACAGCAATTGACCTCAATGTAATCCTTGAAGATACTAAAATCGGTTTAGAGCCAATTTAATCAATTTACCACCCATATTATTATTTTTTTTAATTTGTCCAATTAGTCGTAGTCTGTAATTTTCTTCCGAGAATAGCCATGCAGCTGTGTACTTTTATAGTCCTAGTCAAGCATATAGTTGTATCAGTTTTTCGAATATCTCTACGAAAACATTTTAATACAAAAAAAAACTAAAAACTTAAGTGGACTATATCTTATACGTGTTGCGATAAGACTTACTATTATTCAAAATGTGGTACCCCGTCTGGTTTCATTCAGTGTAGACAAGATCAAACTGAATCGCTTTATATCAGTCGGGCACAAACATATTTTTCGTCCAACCCTGCGAATTAACAATTATCTGTATCGTTGGTTGCATACATTTACATTTTTACAAATTTTATAAAAAAATATACAAGTAATTGCTTTCTATATCATTACATTAACTTACAACACTCTAACGTCGGAGATATTTATTACAAGCACTTTAGACTGTCTTTCTCTAAAAATTATTCAAAATCTTGCATTTTTAAATTTTCCTCGCTTCCTTGTGGTTGGTTGGCCTACATCGCCATTATCCATTGTTGCTATGTTGACAGATCACGTCCTGTGATTAGGTGACGTTTACCCAGGTGTGCGTCAGTCGTCAATAGTTTCGAACAAATTTCTACGTCGTAAACTGCAACCCATTTACTTTAATATCGTTCCTTTGTTGATTTTTAATGATAAACCACCACAATGTTAACGTCGCACATCGCCACGGTGCTCCGGCAAGCAGTAGTAACGTTCGCCAACAAAGAAATGTTTTATCAAAACTTGGAAATTCTGAAAGCCCTTTTGGACAAAACGACTGGGGAAGACGTGAATCTGCACCCTCAGTTCATGACCGAAGATTTGTGGCAACGCCCGAACAAAGCCCCGGTGACATACGTGGACATTTATGAAGACTACAATCTCACAATAGGTATATTTATTTTGAAGCCAAATATGAAGCTACCTCTACACAACCACCCCCAAATGCACGGTTTGATTAAAGTCGTCGGGGGAAAAATCAAAGTCACCAGTTATTCGTTAAACACGGAAAAGACGCAGCAGTTGGACAATAAGAATGCGGCGGTTGTTACTAAATTTATCACTGCTGAGCGCAGCGTTGAGACTGTGCTGGAGACGCATAGTGAGTGTTGTTTGCTTGAACCGGAAGTAAGGAATTTACATGAAATTGAGAGTGTTGGAGGACCTGCTGCGTTTATTGATATTCTGGCGCCTCCGTATGAAACGGCGACTCCAGGAGGGAACGTCCGGAAGTGTAGTTACTACAGGGTGTTGAGAGAGATCGCCCCCAGTGTGTTCAGGTTGCAGGAAATCTCGTCGCCGTCGTGGTACTGGACTGATTCATTCCCATACACTGGGCCTGACCTGTCTTAGCCAAAGTATTTTTTGTACTTATGTTTAGTTACATAGTTTTTGTTATCTAGTCGCGTATTTTCTTAAGCTTGCCATTTATAAAGTTGGTGGTTATTTAATCACGGTGAAAGGATTCCAGTTTTCTATTGTGATAGCACTGTAATGTTTCTGAATCATGCACCTTCCATAAAATTGAAATAAAGTTAGTCACTGATAACTTATCTGGTGCTGGTTTAGATTTTTGTTGAATTGTGAATGAAAGTTATATTTAGGTATGTTTACAAAAATTCTGATTAAAACATAATAACAAATCACTGTATTTGTCAATGATGGAAAAATCCACTTTTTTAATAAACCCCGAGTTTTTAACAATTTGAGAAAATATATATATCAGTTCTACATGAAATCAAAGGAATGCAACATTAACAACTTCTAGTAAAACTATAATAAAAACTGTTAAAAATTCTCACAATTTCACCTATTAGTTTACAAAGCTTTAGTCAGTGCTCCTGCTATGATGTAAATATGTTGAAATATTAGCCTCTGTGTAGTCTAAAATTTTGCGTTGACACTGTCTGATGTATTGCTGCTGTTTGTGATATATCCTCAAAAACCCTTTCACTGTTATAAACGTAAGTCCTCCTAAGACGGTTCTATGAAAATTAGACTTGACCGAACTATAAAATAACTTCCCAAACAAATTTGCAATGGTAGGCATGATTAAAGCCCCACATAATATTCTCGTTGCAGAAACCGGACTGCTAATTGGGGGCAAATCATTGTCAGTGGGTGTTTCGCTCTGTAGAACCTCTCCCCTAAACAAACACAATCACAAAACGCCCATGATCACAAACCAAATTACCTGAATGGCAGTACATTATGAATTACCGGTATCTTAGGAAAATGGCGCCGCATGAAATTCAACACGGCGTCTTCCCAACAAATTAAACGCCCCAGAATTAACGCAACAGGGATGGAAGGCAAACCCAACAACAAAACCAGAGGATCGGCTTGCTCCATCAAGTCAATTCCTTCCTTGTGTCCAATCACCTAAAACCCCCTATAACTTACATGTTACATAACCTCACAAAATCAACCTGCATCACAGTTATAGCTCCATATGTAACCCCCGTCCAGTATATAGCACTTGCAGCAATCCCCGCCGCCAGAAATAAAGACCCTCGAAAAATAATCCCATCCACGGTATCCAACAACAACACAAACAAACCCATATTAGGGAAGACAATAATGTATTCGGTTTGACACTGCGGGCACACTATTTTGCCCCCATGGCCTGATTTCTCTTTCTCATCCACCCACCGCTTGAGGCAAGACTGGTGAACCTACAACAGACCATCAACTGCGCTCCAGATAAATACCAAGTTTGTACCCATTTTGTGGTACCACGACATTTGCAAGGTTGTACCCATAGTGCGTCTAAATCTTCGTCCTCGGTTGCAAAACATACCCAGCAGCATCTGCGGGAATCCCGTTGTTTGAGCTGAATGGGGCCATTGTGAGTTGTCTCGTTTCCGCCGTCTGGGTTTTGCTCGCTTTCCATTGTTGGGTGAAATGGGGTTCGGGGGAGTCTATATGGGGACAGCCATGACACAGACGTATATGGATGCGAATGCAAATTGGAAAATACGAAAATTTTTAGCAGACGTCAAAAAAATGTCAAAACAAATTTTTGCCACCGCAGAGATACCAACATTCGAAACGAAGAGGAGAGTAACCTTAAGAAGTCACGACTCGAGCGCCCTCTGGTGGCCAACAACCATTATCTTTTATTTTATTTAATTTTAAGATAGCTTTCTTCACAATGGTCAGTATGTTGTGCCGCCTAATTAAAATATCTATTGTAATTGTCAGCTGTCAACCTAATAAGTTTCTCCGTCGTTTCAATATTCCATCATAGCAAAGCACGTCATCACAGGTAAACGGCAAACGACAACATCCAAAGCATTCTAGATGCGCCTTTTCAAATAAAACGTTTATTAATACATTACATTATAGCCCCTAGAAATACCTGTATTTCTAGAGGCTATACATTACACTATATATTTCCCAGTAATCATTCTCTGGCAAATTATCTTACAATTATAATAATATAAAAATTTTCACTTCACAATTACAAAATATTTGTATCACCTCAGTCTTGATCTTTCACTCTACTTTTTTCGTTTATTCTTCCTCTCCAAGCTATTCAGTTCACTCTGTTGCATTGCAGCCTCTGAATAAATCCTCTTAACCTTCTCCCTCCTCTCATTATCACTGAAAAACAACCATTTTACAAAAATTCAACCCTAATCCTCAAAACTCACCTTTGCATGCGTCGTTGAATTTTAACGCGTCCAAGGAACGACTTATCTCTTCGAATTTCACGCAAAGCCCCCTTGGTTTCCTTCTTAAGTTTATGTAAAAGTTTATCACGTTCGGCTTTTTCTTTAGACTGAACTTTCCGTCTCTTGCCGTCGAAACTAAAATCAAAAATTAATAACAGTACTAAAATACCTAGGTATTACTTACACTTCCTCGATTTTCGGTTCATATAAACGTAAAGCCTTGGGTCGTTTCGCCGGCATTACTACATAATCTAGGTTTTTATCGCTTCTTCTACTTTTTAATTGTTGGGAGGTTCTCTCAAACTGCGTACACACTTTTTGAGGGTAATTTCGTGTTGGTAATAGTTCCATATACGCGAGAATGTCTTTAAAAATTTCCAAATTTGAAGGGAGGGCTGAAAAGTTATTGTCAAATTCCTCAATTAATTTGAGGGTTGTATTTAAAACCCTAATTTTGAATAAATCGTCGATTTTTTCCTCTGCTAAATCTGATAAGCGCATTTTTAAACTACTATCTTCACTAGTACAGTCATTAAATAGAACTAACGAATTTGTAGTTGGCTGGAAAGGTGGGTTAACTTTGATCAATTTCACCCCGATTTTAGGAACAGCCATGTGTAAAATACCTCCTAGATAATTAATCGCTGCCGGTAGATATCGTTTTGATAACGTAGTATACTAAAACAAAAAATAAAACAACAGTTGGCTAATTTAAAAACTTACCTCTAAAACCAAAGTCACTAGAAACAGTCCATACGCTATATCTTTCCTAGACTTTATCCTACATTTGTACAACATCTGTTCAATAAAAACAAAACACGGAGTCACAACCTGGTGTCGAAAATCCGACGTGGGAAACAACAAACTGACAAGTTTTAAGAAAATTAAAATTTCCAAGCCGGGGTATTTTTTCTTGTTTTTTCTAAACTCTTCATGTTTCTCTTTGATCACTTCCTTGATTGAATGATACGCATTTTCTTTATCTAATTGAGTCAAATCAAAAAGGTGTGGGGTCAAAACCGAAAAAGTTGTGTAACATTTCTCCATGGAATCTTCTGCACAATCATTCAAGTGTTGCAATAAATAAGCAAAAAGTACTTTAAGACCTTGTTTGTTTTTTTCAGCAAGACTCGGGTGGTTGCATTTGATCATTCTTTCAATAATCACACCTTGGTGACTAGGGGTTTGATTTTCTAACAATGATTGCAGAGATTCATAGGAGTCTGGTAAGTTGAAAGTGTAAGGAAGTTCTTGTCTCGCTTTCTCCATCATTTCTTGTTTTTTAAGAGAGTCACCATCAGGTTCAATAGTTCGCGGTTCCGTCTCTTGTGTCTCTTCAACGTCGCTGTCTTCACTTGTGTCATCCTTAAGATCTGATAAATTATCGTCTTCTTCACTAGCGTCGTCATCTTCTTCTGCGCTTTCGTCGTCGGCCTCTTCTTCGTTTTCAGCTTCTTCTTCGTCATCGTCGTGACTCTCACCCACATTTTTGCCATTAATCTGAGCATCTATTTCCAAATTAGCTTCCCCTTCTGTGTTATAACTCAACATATATTCTGGATCAGACTCATACACTAAATCGTCGTCTAAATCATCAGCGCTTCGGTGCGTATTCTTCTTTTCTGCTTCTTCAAACCCTTTCATCCGCTCCTGCCTCTCCTGTTCTAGTTCTTCAAGTTTCTGATTTTCTTCTCTAGCTATTTCATCTTCAGTCTTCAACCTGTCTGACACCGTACCCCTTGCTTCAAATTTCAGTTCCCTCATCACCTTGTCATAATCATCAACCGCCGTCTTTTCTTCATCTTTCTTCTGAGTTTTACTAACCAAAGGTAGCAAATCCTTCCACTCTGTATCCAACTTCTCAGTGAGTTCAAGTGTAGCCTCCTTCACCTTCTGTTTTTCAGCCTTTCGCTTCTTCGACTCCGCTATCAACTCATCGATGAGCTCCCGATGCGTCTTCGCCCCTTCTTTCCCCGTATTCCGCAAAATTCCGCCCCCGAAATGCGCATCTTCCACAAAATTGGCGTCAAGATTCCCAGACTTACCCTCTTCTAAACTATCCTCATCATCTGATCGAGGATCCTCGAATTTCTCAATTTCCGCCAGAGTTTGTCCTTTGTGAGTCAAAACTTCGTCGTCCGCTAGATTAAAAATGGACTTTTTGTGGGCTTTCTTGCGAATGGCGGTGTACCGAGCCACCACTTTGTCCTCGTCGGTCATATTTAGATTCCGCTCACCGATTCGTCTATCCGTGAATCTGTTGGACTTGTGCTGCAGTTTGTACTCTTGTAGAAGGGTGTCTTTGCGTTTTTTCAGAGCTTTGGCTCGAGACACTCCGGGCAGACCGCGGTCGTTTTTCGTCTTCCGGCCTAAAACCGTCATTTTTTGTTTGTTTATGTGCACTTCGAAGGGGTTGAGCGTTTTTTTGGCAGGCACTGCGAGAGGTTTTCGTGGTTTCTTCATTTTGGGACTGCACGTGCGATAAAGTGAGGTTACGTTCGAACTTTTTGTTTGATTGAAGGATTGAATGAAAGCTGACTGCTGACATTTCACAACGTGCTTAAGAAGGTGTTGTGATTGTTTGAGTTTACTAGATGGCGCCACATGTGATTGTTTTTTTTTTATTATAAATGCTTCACACTACAAATTTATGGTAAGAATGGATTATAACTAAGGCTCGCTAATGTGAAATATGATTTAAGTATCATGTTGTTGAAAGAGAACTATATACGTCAAGAAAAAAAGAAATAAAAAAAATTGTGAAAAAAGAAACTCAACCAGTGTAACTCAAACATCAATACGAGAAACTTTATCTGCTAATACAAGCAAAAATGAAGAGGAAACATTCAAGTTCAATTAATATAATATCCTACATTTAATTCATTTTTGGAAAAATACTGTAAAAGGACCATTGTAGAAGAAATCACTCTCAGGAATACAACTGTAGATAAATGTTATATCGAAACTCTTGCTAAAATTAAGACACGTTTGCAAAATATCTTTATTTACTTTGTTGTTGACGAAACAACAGATGTATGCAAGAGATATATAGCAATTTTATTAGTTGGTACTTTATTTGTAAACTTTGTGTCAGATTCTTATTTAAGTGTTGTTAAAGAGTTAGAAAAGGCGAATAATGTAACTATAAGCAGATTTGTCCAAGAAAGATGAAGGAAATCATCAAAATTTTATGATAGTTCATCTGCAGCAATCAAGGAAGCTAAAAAGATTTTAAATAGTCCTAAATTAAATTAGAACGTAAGTTTCATAAATAACAACTACCAATTTTTAATTGGTGTAACATTTAAAAAACTATAAAAAACAAAAGTACCCCTAACATCTAACAGAAAATTAAAAAAAATATATCTATAAAGCACAAGGTTATATTGCTCAAATTCGGCTCAAATAGTCTCAAAAAACTAGTCCTTAATAAAAATAGAGGTTTTATACAAAAATGGGGGTGGGTGGGCGAGGCTACTATTTGCTAAGTTAAGACTGTTTTTGGCAGATAACACATCCTCGAAGAAAATAGAGGGTGGGTGGGCGGGGCTAGTATTTGATTGGATCAGATTGTTTTTGGCACTTTTGACATTTTCGACCTTTTTCAACTAATTCCGAAAATTAGTGAAGACATTTTGTTATCGATTTCGATATCCAGAAGTCATTTTCGGTTTCTATTATTATGTAGTTTCCCCTCCCACTCGGCAGAAGAACATAACATTTACTAGACTAACTAATGTGACAAAAGTTTTAAATGGACAGTTTTCAGACGAGGTAAATATAGACCCTCAAATTGTGTCGTCCTTTAAATATACCCCAATAACATCTGTCGATGTAGATCGTAGTTTTTGAGTGTATAAATATATTTTAAGTGATCGAAGACATTCATTTAAAATGGAAAATGTAGAAACAAATATTATGATAAATGTAAATAATAATATTTTTCAAGAGAGTAACTAGTTAGTCAATAAAATAGCTAGTTAATAGAGTAATAGAATACACCGACAGTTAGTTTTAATTTGTAAATGTGTAGTTTCAGTCCAAATATGTATTATCTAATTTATAAGTGTTGTAAGAAATGATAGAAATAAAATATGAATGTGTCAAACAGGAAACAGGTAATTTTTCTTGCATATTTTAGCAATTTTTTGCATATGATGTCAAATTTCTCTGCATTAAATGCGCATGTTGGACTTTTTTTTTTTTTCTGCATATAATTCCGACCTTTATTTATACCTTGACTTACTAATTTGCTAAGTTTATTAAAAATTTTAAATGAAAGCAAATCAAGTTCAGATCGTGGAGGTCATATTTACTAGTTAAAACTATTTACATTCTTAATTTAGCAGATTTTTTATAAGCTCAGGTTTTATTAATTCCATGCATGTTAATTACAAAATTCGGATTTTTTGACAATGACAGTGACATGAACGTCTTATAATTCCCATTGCTTTTCATTGATCTACGGGAATCTGATTTACTCATCCTGCATGCTCTAAGTGTGTTTCGGCGCTCAGAATCATCAAAAAATGTTGAAATATAGTTCAGATTTAATAAAAATCGACAAAAATACTGTTTCTAGCTAAAATTTGATGGTTTCGTTGCTCTTTCCGAGCCCGTTGGGTTTCTGATTGGCTTAAAACTACAAGAAAACACTTCAAAAGTGACGTTTCTGAATAATTTTAACAATTTTCTTGTATCTGCGAACGCCAGAATGCATAAAATCGACCTAAACGTCTCCTTTTCCTAATCTGAGACGATTCTGCATGCTCTAAGCGTGTTTCGTCGCTCAGAATCATCAAAAAATGTTGAAATATAGTTCAGATTTAATAAAAATCGAAAAAAATACTATTTCTAGAGAAATAAAATCTGAATGTGTCAAACAACTATTTACGTTCTTTATTTAGCAAATTTTTTATAAACTCAAGTTTTATTAATTCCATGCATGTTAATTACAAAATTCGGACTTTTTGACAATGACAGTGACATGAACGTCTTATAATTCCCATTGCTTTTCATTGATCTACGGGAATCTGATTTACTCATCTTGTCCACCTTTTTTTTTTTAAATAAAAGATTAAAAATAGAAGAGAAAATTTTAGATGAGTCATGTCAGATTGACTCAAAATATTTTTTTGTTAGTTCACGAGACATGATATCAGTCAGACCATGAAGATATTCTTTGGTTAAGTAAATGTCAAGAGAGCTTTATTCTGTTATTTAGTAAAATTTTTTGTAAAGTTAAAAATGTCCAGTATTTAAATTTCGCGGGATTGAGTGCGCGTTCAGTTTTTATTTTTTGCTTGACGTTTGTGGTTTGTGTTCAAGGTCGGTAATGTAGTTTCCTGCGTAGTTGTCATGGCCGAAGTGGAAAGGTGATGAAAATTTGTCAAAATAGCAATATTTTGACGTTTCGTAAAATTCGGATTGATTTGACATCAGGCGTATCGATTATTATACAAATGGTATCTAAATTATTTGTTTTCCGATCTACACTAATCATAAATCACTGTGCCTTCATTACAAAAACATTTATTTGACCCTGTTGTTGAAGGTGAGAGAGAAATTAGTGATAATCCCCAATTCCGCAAAAAAGCACGGTTTTTAACGCTATCGGCCTTGTGCTTATCACCGAGCATAAAACCCTGTGTAGTCGTCGCCCCGTCGTGCCCCAAACCGCCCCCGAGTCGGACCCGAAAGTGCATAAATTTAGCTCTGACATTGGCATTGTGTTAGTGAAACTCTCCTTTCCCGTCGTCAAAGCCCGTTCTAATCCACCCCTCGCCTTTTCAGGTGATCACAATGGAGTCGCAACGCATCCCCAAATAGCCGCCGGCCCTCCGAACCACCACCACACAAATATGATAAATTCATGACACAACTCATCGCATGAATATCGCCTGTTTCTGTACTCAGGTCAGTCAAAACACTCAAAATGAGCGAAAGCGATGCGAAATGGGCATGTGAATACTGTACATACGAAAACTACCCTTCGTCGATCAAGTGCACCATGTGCCGGGGCCCCAAGCCGTTCGTCAGTGAGGACATCTACCGCCTCCACGGCAGCGACGACAAGCTCACGTCCAACGCGGCCGGCCCCTGCGACAACAAATCTAAACGGAAATGGTTGTGCGAAGCTTGCACTTTTACCAATCCCTCACGAGAGCAGATGTGCCAGCAGTGCGGCGCCTCGCAAGCTGTCTCCGCTAATAATTTACATGAACACATACAGCCCCTCAAGATCTCCTCGCAGCACTCGGACTTGGCGCAGAGCTTGTCCAGATCCAGGAATAATAGCCCACCCACTATTACTAATTTAGAAAACAGTCGCAGGACTCAGGGGAAGTGGATCTGTGTTGTAAGTTTTTGCTTTGTGTGGAACATGTATGTTTTCTCTTTGTTCGTTCAATGAGATTTCGCGATCACTTTCCGAGTTTATCGAAAAGGTCACTGACATACATTTCGGGCAATGAGGTTAAAAAACGTTTTTAAAATTCTGCCAACTACAAAAATACTTGTGTATATGGCGGGTTCGCTATTAATTTGCTCGCGTGACCCATAAATCGGCAGGATTGGGTTTTGGAGCGCGTCGGGATTAATTAGGTATGGTCTGTGATTTACTGGAAGCGGAATTAAAAAAAGAAAATGCTTTCGTTGATGTGATATTAACAAAAAACAGTAATTTATGTTGATTAAAAAAGATAATAAAAATTGACATTGAGTAAGTAGAAACATTTGCTTGAAGGTTAGATATTTGGTGTACTTTTCATAAAATGACAATTGGACTGTCACAATTGAGTGAAGTATAGAAGAGTCTTGATCTTTAAAAATAACATACATACTAAGAATTTATAATTTTGAGCTACAAAGATCAACACTAATACGTCGATACGCACCATTTACTCTAAAACTGGATTAACGATAATCGTGCCGCCTTTCGGAAATACCTGACATACTACATCAAAACGTGTTAATGATGTAAATTGCTTGTCAGTAATTTGTCGCTGCAATTTTTAGCGATATAAATATTACAGTGCGTGCGCAATATGTATATGCAATCACAGTTATAATAATAAATCCTCTTGACGTAATAAAGCATTTTTCCTGTGTTATTATTATTTACAAAATTGACATTTAAAGGTCATTTGTTAGGGGTGTACGAAATGTAAATATTGATTCTATATTTTCCAGGGTCGTGCATAATTTATAACAGTTTTCCGAAAAATAAAAATTTATTACTTCTAAATATTTTGTAAGAAAGCCAGGGATTTATGTGTACGATTTTTCGCATATAGTATTTTTAAATAAACTATTGTACACTTAATACACAATAGTTTATCTAAAAAGTAAACGTAATTTGAAATAGGTATCTGTGGTTTTGTTACGTATTGTTCTACCTTCTTAAAAATTCAGGCTTCGTCAAATTCACTCATTTTACTTTTTCTCTAAATATTAAAAAGTTTGCACTATTTCCACTGTTTATAAGTCTTTACTTCCCGTTATGGAAAATATTTTAAGGCCAATGGCTACGTTTGCCACATGGGATTTTCAATACATTTTCAGAATGTAATTATCTCCGTTATTGGACTTACTGTTGAGAAAATTTAAATATAACCTGTCCACGAGGGCAAATTTGTTAAAAAGAGTTTATCTTTTTTTAATTATTTGAGTAAAATGCTTGCATCACGTATTTTTAAAAACGAATACCTATTATTTATGGAAATTTCAGAACGCAGTTTTCAACACTGTTTTCAACTTATAAAAATCTAGAAATAGTACCACACATTGTCGACTTTTTTGTTGGAAATGAGATGCAGTAAACAGAAGCTTGAGTCGTAGAGCTGCTTAAACAAAAAAAATGGTCAAAAGTTGTTTCGACAGAACTTCCCTCTCTCCTGAAATACAATGATATTTTTTTGGAGGCACCCTGTATACGCAAATCCAAAAAATATTAATGGGGAGTAGGGAGTCATCATATATTGTACATTTTAGATAGGTTTTATTCAGCAAAATTTTGGGGTGACGTCATCAATTTTTTAGGGGGGATGAGCAAATACATCTCCAAAATGTTTTATGATTTTGATTTTTTTTTTCAAAAATTTGAACGTTTCGGGTAAAAACTCAATACGGAATCATAAACTACATGTGTAGCACTATGTTATTTTATACAATTTGAAACCCATTTATTTTGTACAATTTTGAAGTAACGTTATCACATTATTGGTGAGGATGATTAGAAAAATTTTGGTTAGCGTTGTACCTTCTACATGATATTCTAAATATAAATACAAAATTTGACAACAATCGGCCCAGTATTTCGGAGATTATCTGTTTAATCAAAATCCGGGACGGCAGACAGACAGACAGACGGACAGACGGACGGACAGACAGACGGAAACGGGAGACTTATTTCTTCGTACTCTAGGAGTCATGAAAGATTGAGAAAACGTAAAAGTAGAGGTTCGGCCAACGGCCTCCATTACAATACCGACGTCTAGACTTTTGTAAGGTGAAACCAGTGATAGAAACTGTGTTACAAAATTTCCATAATTAAGATACTCATTTTTAAAAATATGTGATGCAAAAATTTAAATAAAACGACATAAGATCCAAACGTGGGGATTCGTCTAAACAGAGTCACATTGACGAATGTCTACTCAAACAAACCCAAATTCTTAAGTAAATTATAAAATCTGATTTTGCGAATTTTATTATTTGAACTCAATAGAGATTGTAATCCCTATGAGCTAAAAGAGATATAGGTACGGATAATATTAAACAAACTACAATTAAAAAATTGGTCGAAAGTTGTTTCAACAGAACTTCCCTCGCTCCTGAAGTAGAATGAAACATAAAAAATAAACACCCAGTCATCAGATCTAGGAATTTAACTTGTTACTATAGAAATTTGCAATTTAATACATTTTAAATTCAACAAGTTTTTACAAGATTAATAGAGGCAAAATCAGTCTTATCTTAGCAAATACTAGCCCCGCCCACCCGCCCCCTATTTTTTCAAAGGATATGTCATTTGCCAAAATAAGTATTATCTTAACAAGTACTAGGCCCGCCCACCCGCCCCCTATTTTTTCAAAGGATATGTTATTTGCTAAAATAAGTCTTATCTTAGCAAGTACTAGCCCCGCCCACCCGCCCCCTATTTTTTCAAAGGATGTCATTTGCCAAAATAAGTCTTATCTTAACAATTACTAACCCCGCCCCCTATTTTCTCAGAGGGTATGTTATTTGCCAAAATAAGTCTTATCTTAACAAGTACTAGGCCCGCCCACCCGCCTCCTATTTTTTCAAAGGATATGTCATTTGCCAAAATAAGTCTTATCTAAGCAAGTACTAGCCCTGCCCACCCGCCCCCTGTTTTCTCAGAAGATATATCATTTGCCAAAATAAGTCTTATCTTAACAATTACTAACCCCACCCCCTATTTTCTCAGAGGGTATGTTATTTGCCAAAATAAGTCTTATCTTAACAAGTACTAGGCCCGCCCACCCGCCCCCTATTTTTTCAAAGGAAATGTCCTTTGCCAAAATAAATTTTATCTTAGCAAGTACTAGTCCCGTTCACCCGCCCCCTATTTTCTTAAAAGGTATGTCATTTGCCAACTAATATTTGCTAAGATAAGACTAATGTTGGGAAAGACATCATCCTCTGAGAAAATAGGGGGTGGGTGGGCGGGGCTAGTATTTGCTAAGATAAAACTGATTTTGGCAAATGCCATACCCTCTAAGAAAATAGAGGGTGGGTGGGCGGGGCTAGTCCTTGCTAAGATAAGACTAATTTTGGCAATAAAAACTCATCATATTGTGCACATTTTGGGGAGAATTTATTCAGCAAAATTTTGAAATGACGTCAGCAATTTCTTGGGGGGAATTAACAGATATATTTTGGTTACATACTTACAATAAGTTTAAAACATCTGCAAGATTTCAAAGTATTAATTTTTGCAATTCTTGATGTATTCAATAAAGTAAATTGATTTGATTCATTAATTTTTTTAACACACCCCCTGTATAAGCAAATCCAACAAATATGAATCGAATGATAAATCACAAGTATAGCCTCATCAAATTTTGGACATTTATTCGTCAAAATTTTACGCTGACGTCATCAATTTTTTGGAGCGGATAAGTAAATATATTGTGATTAAAAATTTTTATGCTTATCATAAATTTAAAATATTTTCAAGGTTTCAAAGCATTCGGTTTTGCAGATTCAAAATTAAATTGCAAAATGTTGTTTTATATTTTTGATTTTTTTTCCAAAAATCTGGACGTTTCGGGTAAAAACTCAATTCGGAGTCATGAACTACATGTGTAGGACTGTTATTTTATACAATAAGTAAAAAGCACGCTACGTATTAAGGTACGAGACAAAAAATTATCACGGTGCAGAATTTTTGCCTAAATGTATTAAAAGAAAGTGAAGACACCTGGTTGATTGAGCAATTCCATTTTTAATTAATTTAATAAAACATTTTCACAGAAAACACTAAACTGAACGAAATTTATTGAAAATATGTAATTTTGTTAACAGACTTATTGTGACAAATTATTATCACGCTTAAAACTAACTAGCTAAATGAAAACTAATTTAATACCCAATGTATTTTCCACCTGCTTCTATGAGATTGTAGACGCGTTGCTTCATAGAATTGACCAAATGGATGAAGTAGTTGACGTCCAAATTCTCCCAAGCCCCCAAGATACCATCTTTCGATTCATTAACTGTTGCGTACTGCTTCCCATCTTTATAAACCTCTCGTACAAGAGAACTCCATACATTCTCAATAGGGTTGAGATGTAGGCTTTTCGCAGGCTATTATAGCAAAGCTATATTTTGTTGTTGAAACCACGTTTTCGATGAATTAGATACATGAATCGACGCATTATTTTGCAGAAAAACCACTTTGCTGTCTTGAAATAGGTTCAAAGGTGGTTTGAGGTGCATTTCCAACACATCTTGGTAATTCAGAAAGTCCATTCGATTTGATTAATGCTAAGTTATTATTTCCTAAGCTACTAAAGGCACCCCAGACCATAACATTGCCACCTCCTTGAACTCGTTTTGACAAATACTTTGGTTCTTTCCGTAAATCGTGCCAATAATATCTAAAACCATCAGGACCATCAAGATTAACTTTCTTTTCATCTGAAAAAACTATCTGGAACCATTCTTCATTTTTCGTCCGCATTTCTCTGTCCCATTCACGACGTTTTTGAATATGTTCTTTTGTTAACATTTGTTGTTTCTTATATTTGGCATATTTAACATTTATGTCATTAGCCAGTACTCGCAAAACTGTTCTTTTGTGAACAGGTAGTCCTAGGGTCGTCTTTATCATTTGAGACGACATGTTATCCTTTATACCCGGAGTCACAATGGATCTTTTGGCACGTGCAGTGAGTTTTTCTTTTCTTCCACAATTTTGTCGTCCATTTTCACTGTATTTCTTTCTTACAAACTTGGAGATTGTGGTCCGATCTCTTCCAGTCTTTCATCCTATTTCCGCAAAAGTCAAACCTTGGTCATAGTATGCCTCAATCTGCCCTTTTTCACGTTCTGTTAAATCGTTTTCTTTGCCCATGGCGAAAGACAATTATTGTAGCTCAGCCAATTATATTTCGACACTTTATCAGTTCTAACAAACAATTGCATATCGTGCATATCATACAAATAAACAAGAATTACGCATACTACGTTTTTCTAATTGATTTTTATACAAAAAGTGATGCGTGATAATTTTTTGTCTCAAAATTTCTTGACACAATTGAGTTTTCACAGATCAGAAATTATTTGATGCAAAAATATCACTGAAAAAAGCATTTTTGTATACTAAATTAACTTCTACTGGGTGTATTATTTAGTCAAAGGTCTAGATAATAAAAAATTCTTGAAAAATTGCACCGTGATAATTTTTTGTCTCGTACCTTATATGTGACTTTTTCGTAACAAGTTTTGTGATGACGTCATCAACTTTTTAGTGGGGATAAATATGTCATTTTGGATATGTACAGTGCAAAACTGATGCTAACCCCAGAATTTCAGGAAACTAAAACAACTTGATTTTGATTCAAACAATAAAATAAATTACTTCATTCGTTGAGTTTTGCACATTTTAAACAGATTTTTTTCGGAAAATTTTAATATGATGTCATTAAATTGTTGGTGGGGGTAGCTTACGATCGAGAAGTATCGAAAAAGTAGCGTTAGTATTGTATAATATATTTTAAATTAATTTATTAAATATCTTTACAAACAAGTTCATTGATAGGTACACGTTATTTGTGAATAATAATGTTTTTGGACTAAAAAATGGGAAAGAGTAGATGAGTGGTGAGGTACAGTACTAAAAAACGACTCGTTATAGTTTTTGCTTATTTATTAACTTGATTCGAACCAACATTTATATATTCTTGACCTGTTCTTTTTACTACCTTGCTAATAAAGGTGTTAACCTTGTTGTAAGAGCCTGTTTTAAAATACCTCCAATGCTATTGTTAAGTGAATAAGAACACTACGACCCGGTTTACAGAAGCTCAGACAAATATTTGATTGCGATTAAATTTTTAACACGTGATTAAATTACCACGTGACCAACTCTAAATTTTTTTGTTCTTATATTTTTTTCTTAAATCGTTTCACGATTAAACCAGATTCAGCGTTGAAAGCTTTTTCAACCATTAACTCTATGAGTATTATGAATAATCCAGCAGTGACAACATAATCGTTGTTTTGAGCGACATAAATCTGATATTTGATGAATCACCAGACCAGGAGTTTTGAAGAAATGGAGAAAATTTATATGTATACAGAGTGATAAAAAAATGAAGAATGTGCTCGATGGTACGTTGTTAAAAGGGTTTAAAGAACTCCAAAAAAATTGTAAAAAAACTACTTCACCAAACTTTTGAAAATATTGAACGTCACAGTTGAAGAATTAACTTTGTAATTCTGATAATTAGTTATTAACTTAATAATAATATAATAATCATTATTTGCTAGAATAGGATTCAATTCAGTGTTGAAGTTTAATATTTAAAAAACTTGGTTCAGAGATTTCTTTCTTTAAGCATTTTTTTTTTTCGAAATAATTTCGGAGGCTTGCACGGTCGGAATCAATACATGATCGTTTTCCGGGTTGGAACCGTGTTAATTGAGTTTTTGGGCTCAAGTGGCATCTTCAGGAGCAGGGTTAAAAATAAATAAATAAAAAAGCACGGTAACTCTGGTATGGTTGACATACTGAGTTACCGCGCTCTTTTACCTTATTTTTACTCAATTAACACGTTTCCAACCCGGAAAACGATCATGTATTTTTTTTGAGTTTTGCAGAGCCTCAAATTTTTTAAATTTGAAAAGAATCTTTTAACAATTACCATTTCTCTTTGACACTGAAAAATTCTTGTCACTAGGTCCATTGTTCCATGGCCATATGTTAAGTTTTGTGTCGATATTTAATAGCCACAGAACAAAGGAATTAATTAAGCAAAGTGAAAATAACAAACGATATTTTTCAATTATTCTGTTTTTACCCGACCAATCGTTGTCAAATTTTATACGTGTATTGTCAATATCATGTAGATGGTAAAACGCTAACCAACCTTTATCTAATCATCCTTACAACAATGTGACGACGACACCTCAAAGTTGTACATAGTAAATGGGTTTAAAATGGTATAACTACACGTGTAGTTTATGAATCCGTGTTGAGTTTTTGCCAGAAACATCCAGATTTTTGGAAAAAAAATCAAAATTGTATAACATTTTAAATCTTGCAAACGTTTCAAAGTTATCTTAAGCATTGCAAATTTTTAATCAACACATATTCTATTTATCTCCCTCAAAAAATTGATGATGTCAAAATAACCTTTGACCAAATTTTTTCAGTTCGTGATCCGCAATATTAGTGCACTGATTGTGTAACGTACATTGTCTCACACCATTTACCAACCATTCTGCGTCGATCCGCAACACCTACGCATTCAAAACATGCAAAACCAATTAGTAACTCATTTTTTATTTACAAAATAAAAAGAACGTCACTTTCAACTTATTATTCAAATCCATCTGTGCATGCATTGAATACGATGTGGATGTACTGTGGGCCGCAAATACCGTCATAAACTAAACAATCCGTCACCTGTTTATTCAGCGTTTTCATGGCCAGGAAATAATAAATCACGGTTCATGGGTCAGAGAGTTTACTTCAGAAAAACCGACACAATGAACATCCATCCACGGCATAGAAAAACAGAACGAGATATTGCTGCATTCATCTTTATTCGCAAAAAACAGCTCTTATCTCTTGATAAAAAATCGTTGTTGTTTGGCGCTCCTCCAAATCTGCAACTCAATCCATCCAGGTGTACTTTTTCTTTCTGGCAAATCTCCAGCGTTGTTAAGGCGTCGATATTTTTGAACTTGTGGAACTAGATGGCGACACGGCTGGGTGATTTTACGCGTCGTCAGGCGCGGATCCAGGGGGGGGGCAATGGGTGCAATTGCCCCCCCCTGACACACGACCGAGGTACTTTATTTTGACCAATTTCAAAATTTTGAAATCATATTTCATTTTGTAAATACAGTACAACCTCTATAATTCGAACTCACGATTGTCTCAACATCCAGTAATCCGAACAGAGGCTATTTGAAGTCGATGCCTCTTTAATCCGAACAAAAACTCTGCAATCCGAACTGAACTTGAAAACATGCATCTACTTCCAAAAATGACGCAAGATCTTTCTGCATACATATGTTGTATGGAATATTTTGAAATTTTTAAAAATTGCGATATTTCAAAGCACTGAATTAATTAACTAATTCTGGAGAAACGGATGAAGTTATCGGAGACCCAAAATCTACAAGAGAAAGTATTTGGTTAAATTTCGAAAATCGTCGAAAATGGGTCGAAATTTGCATGGGAAAAATTTCATTTTTGAAAAATTTTCCTAAAAATTCTGAAAAAATTCAGGGATATATATCCCGACGTGCTGATTCCAAAAATAAATCATGTTTATGGTAACGGAGCAATATTTTGGAAAATTCTGGAAAAATGGTTTAAGTTATCAAAGAAATGAAGCCAGAAGTGACTTCTGAGGTCCAAAATCTACAAGAAAATATATTTAGTTAAATTTCGAAAATCGTCGAGAATGGGTCGAAATTTGCGTAATGGAGGTAATACGAATACATAATTGAAAAATTCATCTAAAAATTCTGAAAAATTTCAGGGTATAGATCCCGAGGTGTTTATTCCAAAAAGATAGCGTGTTTATGGTCACGGAGTAATATTTTTTTAGAATGTATCTATTATCCATTGTTGCTTAAGAATTCTTTAATTTTTGTTTAATAAAATTTAGGTTTATTTCTTGAAGTTTGTTTTCAGTTGTGTATGAAGTTATTATTCAATTCCCTTTCAGATTTTTGCGAAAATTGCTGAACCGAACAAATCGTTAATCCGAACACACCTTTTTCCCAATTAGGAATTAGGATTATCGAGATTCTACTGTACACTATACGTGTAATGAAAAGAACCAAATGTCACCCATGTTATGTGAAAAAGAGTATACTAGCTAAAATTTTATACATTTTTTTTTGTTTAGAACGAATTTCTGGTAGATAGGTAAAATCACACAAAAATTGCCCCCCCCTGAACGAAATCCTGTATCCGCGCCTGCGCGTCGTTAAAGCTAAAATTTTAATGCGTGTCTCGGAGCAGTAATGCTGGATAATCCGCTTATTCCTTCTTTGGATAGTCTACTAATTGCTGTAAGCTCATCACAGATTCCAATCAAGAATGGAATTAATGAAACTAATATTTCACGAAGCAAGAGTGAGCAGAAGCCCCACTATATCTGCCGCGCATGCGCACGAATTAATATTTACCCAACAAAAAGTAAGCCAGTAAGCCCACTCTGTAACCACTAACGCAGAAATGGATATGTGTATAATTTATCATTTTCCTTATCATTTAATATAACCAAGTAGAGAATAGTGGACAATTTAGAGCTTCACCGTTAACCTTCCTTTTCGCATTTCCAGCTATGTACTTACGAAAATTGGCCAAAGACCAAGAAGTGCGCCATGTGCGGCGCCGTCAGCTCCCACCGCCCGCAAGCGTCCAGCCTCATACTGCCTTCGCCAGATCGCGACAACGAATCCGAGAAGAACCGGACCAGCCCGAACATCCTCGAGTCGGCGCAGACGCCCAACAACCTCGAGAACGAGCGCAAGGCGCGCCATCTGCGCCGCAACGCCGACTGGAACTGGCTCAACGCCTGCATCGGCGTGATCGAGGGCGACCCGAACCCCGTCGAGGCCTACCTGGCCTCCGGGGGCAACCCCGCGCGCACCCTCACCGCCTCCGAGGTCGCCATCCTCAACCGGAGCTCGGCCTTCGACGTCGGCCACACCCTCGTCCACCTGGCCATCCGGTTCCAGCGGGAGGACCTGCTCGCGGTCCTGCTGTCCCAGATCGAGGGCTCGGGTTCGGGCGTGAAGCGGGTGCCCAGCTACGTAGCGCCCGACCTCGCCGCCGACATCCGCCGCCACTTCGCGTCGAGTCTGCGCCAGAGGAAGGGCAACTTCCCGTGCAACTTCGTCACGGACTTCCCGACGTTCGCGCTGCCGGCTGAGGTGGAGGAGCTCCCGGGCACGGTCCAGGAGCAGCTGTTCAACGAGCTGCTGGACAAGGACGCGCAGTGCCAACTGGAGAGCGAGCCGGCGGTGATCAACTGGTCGCTGGAGTTGACGGTTAGGTTAGGGTCGCGGCTGTACGCGCTGTGGAATAGGTCGGCGGGAGACTGTCTACTGGACTCGGTGATGCAGGCGACGTGGGGGGTGTTCGACAGGGACAACACGTTGAGGAGGGCGCTGGCGGAGAGTCTGAGTCAGAGTGGACACATGTAAGTTTCGGGATAGCGCGTTGTAGGAGTTTGAATAATTTTTGGTAGGTCGTGGACATACTTAATTATTATCAAATTATTCTCACCGCTAGCAATTCTTTGTTGTAATTCGAGGCGAGCGTCTTTGTAACAAGCTTGCTGGTGTTGCAGGTTTTACCCTCGCTGGAAGGAGTACGAAGCCAGTCAAGCCTCCTTCCTTCAGTACTCGTTAGACGAGGCCCAGTGGGAGGAAGATTGGACCAGTTTACTGTCGTTAGCGAGCCAGCCCGGAACTAGTCTAGAACAATTACACGTTTTTACTTTAGCTCATATTTTGCGCCGCCCCATTATAGTATACGGAGTCAAGTATGTGAAAAGTTTTCGGGGTGAAGCGTTGGGTTATGCCCGTTTCGAGGGTGTGTATTTGCCGCTATTGTGGGAGCAGAGTTTCTGTGTGCGCACGCCGATAGCTTTGGGTTATACTAGAGGACATTTTTCCGCTTTGGTTCCCTTGGAACCGTATAGTCGCTTAGACACGCGGCCTTCCACTCAACATAGCAATATAGGCGCGGACCAGCTTCAAAGTACGTTTCTTCCGCTAATGGATCGAGATCGGAAGCTGCTTCCGATACACTTTCTCACCGAATCAGAGGTAAGGAATGAGCGATGCGCTTGGTATTTGAAAGGAGCAGACACTAGGACAGTTATACGTTCGGTTGCAGCTGGGCCGGGAAGAGACCATCCTGCGGCAGTGGCTGGATGTATGCGAGACCGAAGGAGGTATCCTCGTGGCGCAGCAGCTGCTGCACAAGCGCCCCCTGTTGGTTGCTCAAATGGTGGAGGAATGGTTGAATCATTATAGGAGGTTGATGTAAGTACGTTCCGTAGATGGATGCCCGAAACTTAAGTCGTGGTGGGGATTGCAGTCAGATGACGTCAGCACCGTTCGCCAGACCCATCCCCATCCAAGACTACTTGAGCGAATACGACACTGACGATGAATAGCGAAGGGTAAAAGTCGTGTCGGAATGACGCGATGGTAGCAATGATTTTTAGGAGAAATTTTCAATAACTCAGTATGTCTCGTGACGGTGACTAGCTTTAGTTTAGGAATTCGCTAGAAAGAGGAAATTATTTCAACAGCAAGAATTGTTGCACGGCGTCATTGTGGGAATTGATCTGAATTTAAATTATTTGTTTTTTCGTATTTTAAATAAGGGCATACTTCTTCCTCTTGCCTATGCAAACATTGTATAGATTTCCCTGTGGGTAGGATATATTTATTTTTATAGATAGCTGAAGTACAAATAAATCGCAAAAAATATATATTTATTTCATTGTGTGCGGGTTATTACCGGTGGAGCACTATAGTTCCTTCGTTCGTAACCGAACTTCTTTGTGATGATGTGCTTTATTTTATTTTATTTTTTTTGTACATGGAGATGTTGGTTGGATTTATTGTTTTGTTGGGTTGTTACTATCATTTCTTGTTGTGCTGTGAAATATTTAAAGCGAAAAAGCAAATTGTATGGTTTTTAAGATAACAAATCCAAAGTCAAATTACTTCTAACTTTATTAGATAGAACGTTTCTGAATAGATTCTTAAATTGTGAAATACTTACGAAATTTATTATACATAATTATATTGCATTGTTAACACACTGTTATAAAAAATATATATTATAAATAGAAAATAAAACGTTTAAAAACATTAAACTATTGCATAACAGTGGAGCGTTTTCATACCGACCCTCATCAAATAAATACATCGGTTTTTTTAAACAAGTTTTTTTATTTGACTTAACAGTACTTTAAAACACCATACACCTTTTTTTTAACGAAATGAGAAAATCCAACATTTCACCTCACGCTAACATACCCTGATCATGTCCCTTCCTGGCAAGATCTTGCTGACGAAGCACAGAAAATTCTAATTTGAGAGATGAACTCGCCATGTAATGCACCTGGGCACTGAGAGAATTCTCAGCTATTAGACCCCAGGACACAACAGTCGTGGAAAGGGTTCCCTGGCTGTTAATAGCTATGTGGTGGCAACCAAATGCAACAAAGCACACGTTGACTGAATAAGTGTGGAGGTAAACGCGGTTTATGGAGGAAACAGTGGCGTATGAACGTGAAGGTGTCCTTTGTCGGTACCCTTTCTGAGTACAAAGTTAGGGCGATTTCTGATAATTGAAAAACTTCACTACTTCCTCCAGTTTACCATAATCCGAGTTGTCACCCCATACTGACAAACTACCCGCTGGACATCATACTACCCGACCCGCTCCCCACATAACAGGTAGACCTTCACTTAGGCACGTATGCCCTGGTGGAGTCAGATGTTTTTATCCTTTCAGGTACCATTTTTGTGTGGAACATGTCCGTGAAAACCTTATCGTGTCCCTAAATCCAACGGGTACTGTTGGACCGGGCCAGTACCTGAAGATCGAGCGTTGAAGACGACAACAATAAGTGGACTAGGGGAGATCCTCCCCCGGTGAGTGACATCTCATACGTTATTGACGGTAGATAAATCAGGTGTCTATTTTCATGATTGGGGACCATCACTACGGCGTCACTTTCGAGGCGAGTGAATTTGCAGACCCATCATTTGTAACTACTAGACCATTACCGATAATTAATTTGTGCTAAAGGCGTCTTTTCGTCATGAATCATCTTACATTCTGAGGTGTCCCGATTCAAAATTAAAGCCACGAGGAACACACAAGAAGAAAAAAAGAAAAAAAACATACGGTCCAAAAGATCAGACCAATCTTTGAAAACTATCACTACGTCATTCTCTTGGCAAGTTATGTAGTGGCGTCGCTTTCCTTCCTCCTGCACTTATCGCTCATGAAAATGCTTTTGTAGTGCCTTCTGGCATTTTTGCCAACCTTACCACGAGTCGAATACTACATTTTATTGTGCAAATAATAAAAAAAACACATTAAATCACTTTTTTATTTATTACAGTTAACTTAAAATCATAGGAATCAAAATATTCTCATATCCTTTCCATCGTATCTTCGCACGACACAAAGAAGAAAAATATTTCCATCAACTTAAGCATCACAAGCTTACTTAACCTAACTAACTTAAGTACAATTGAGCACACTAATATCAGACGGCGTTCCTCTCAGTTCGTTGTTGAGAGTCTTCAAAAGTGGGTGTTTACCACAACCGCACCTGTTTCTAAAGTCATCCAAGTCCAAAGCCCAGATCATGCCACCGCCCAAACGCAGGTCTTTGACCAGGCGCGACTTCCTTCTGATGTCGGCAATATCGTCATAGGACACCCACTGGTTTGACATGTACGCGTAAGGACCTATACGTCCTTGAGGATCCCTGGTCACCGTCCACGACCTCTTTTTCACTCTTTCACAAATCTGTAACCCAAATGATTAGAATACTTTTTTGGTGGTGAGTATTTTTAATACTTCGTAGAAGGCTAGGAACCCTCCGGCTCTCGTAAATTCTCCTGCTTCTCCAGGACCATACGATTTTGCGTTTAATCCACGATCAGCAGTGTCCGCTAGACTGAAGCTTTGTCCATAGAGTGGCATTCCCATAACAAGCTTCGACGGTGAAGCGCCTTTCTCGATCCAGTAGTTCAGGGAGAAATTCTAAAAATTAAACTCAACAAACACCCAGTGTACTTAATAGAACACCTTACGGCATTGAAATAGTCGTAAACATCTCCCGGATAGTAGTAAAGCGGTGCTACATGTCCAGTTTGTTTGTCCCAGTGACCATGGAAGTCGTACGTCATTACAGCAATCCAGTCCATGTACTGCGAGAGTGTAGGAACATCATATCCATCGTCAATCACAGCCTTACTAGGTGACACCGCCGCCGATAAGAGCAAACCTTTGGGTTTGAAAACCTCGCTCAGTTCTCGTACTAAAGCAGCGAAGTTTTGTTTATCGGAAGCAGGACCTTTGTTGCAGTCCACTTGCCAACATTTCGGGTACTCCCAGTCGAGGTCTAAACCATCGAAGCCCCACTGTTCAATAAACTCGACTACGTGGGCTATAAATTTAGCTCTAGCTTGAGGATTGTTGACTAGACGAGAGTACTTATTGCCAGCAGAGTCGTTCCAACCGCCTAAAGCAATAAGTACTTTAATTCCTCTAGCTTTAAAAGCGACCACTTTCTTGTAGAATTCATTATCGATGTCAGCCCACGAATCGTGAGGTTTCAAAGTAAGAGAATTCGTGTCTAAAACTGCGAAACCGTAGTTAATGTGGGTGCAGAGGGTCGCATCGATGTCTTGTGGCAGATATTTGCCATCACCTTGTCGGTACCAAGCCCAGTTCGTGAAATAACAAACCACTTTGTAATCGTCTCCACTCACATCGGTACCACCAACGGGTTTTTGAGTTGATGGTGGTACTGGGACTACCGGACTTTCAGTCACTTCGTCTGGTGCTTCCGTAACTGGAGTCGGTGTTGTGGAAGGTGCCATGGTACTACTGGCGTCGGGGTGACAAGGCGTGTTCTCAGGCCAGTCACAGTGGTCCCGATTCCAATACAATCCATTCGGACACACTTGAAGCTGAAGCTGCCCTTGGTTACATAAATAGTACTGGCTACAGTTTTCGTCGTCAGCCACGAATAATCGTCCTTGACAGGGTAACTTCTCTGGAGGTAGAATCGGTTCTTGTGATTCGTACGGCGACTGAGTTGTAGGTTTTTGAGTTACTGGTTTCTTTGTAGGTTTTTGGGTCGGTTTGGCTTGAGTTTTGCCCAAAATACATTTAGGATCGGGTTTAGCGTAATCTCTTAGTACCCTGTTGATGGTACGTAACAGTGGGTACTCTTCACAGCCGCACAGGTTTCTGAAGTCGTCTAAATCTAGAGCCCAAATCATACCACCACCGAGTCCCATCGCTTTAATGTATTCGGATTTGTGGCGTATCATGCCTATGTCATCAAATGATACCCACTGGTCGCGCAAGTAGGCGTAGGGACCGATTCTTCCTTTTCTGTCTCTTACCACCGTCCATCCTTTGTTGATAACGTTGGTGCAGATCTAGAAATTGATTAGTTTAGACAAGAAAGATAAAGAAAAGGTACCTACTTCATAATAAGACAGGAATCCTCTAGCTCTGGTTTCTTCTCCAGCCTCGCCACCACCGTAAGTGGGTGCGTTCAAGCCATTTTCGCTATTATCAGCCAACGAGAACGACTGCCCATACATAGGCATACCCATCACGATTTTCTTACGGTCTGCCCCTTGCTCAATCCAGTAGTGAATCGTGAAGTTCTACAAGTAGGAGTTAGACAAAGCTTCGGGAGTTTGGATGACTTACTGTGTTGAAGGAGGCATCTACGTCATCAGGATGGTCATACATAGGAGCTACGTGTCCAGTAATCTTGTCCCATTGACCGTGGTAGTCGTAACACATGACTGCAATCCAGTCCAGATACCTAGATAGAGTAGGTACATCATACCCAGCATCTACTACTCGTCGACTTGGCGATACTGCAGCTGATAAGAGCCACCCTTTGGGAAGGAAAGCTTCGTGTAGTTCTTTGACGAATTCAGCAAAAGCGCCTTTATCTGAAGCTGGACCTTTGTTGCAGTCAACTTGCCAACACTTCGGGTACTCCCAATCCAAATCTAAACCATCGAAGTTGTTGGTTTCGATGAAGTCAACGACGTGGGCAATGAAACGACGACGAGCCGATGGGTTGTTGACAAGTTTGGAGTACTTATCGCCTGCAGAGTCGTTCCATCCACCGATGGCGATAAGCACCTTGATTCCCTTAGCTTTGAAAGCAGTCACTTTCTCGTAGAACTCTGTAAAAACAGAAATTATAACACCGGTTTAGTTGTTTTTGGCGACTTACTGTTGTCAAAGTCCGCCCAAGTATCATGCGGCTTAATGATTAGTTGATCGCCGTTGAGAACAGCAAAACCGTAAACAATATGGGTGCACAAATCTGGGTCTATATCTGACGGTAAGTATTTACCAGAACCCTGTCTGTACCAAGCCCAGTTCGTAAAGTAACAAACCACTTTGAAGTCAGAATTAGTATTGACTAAGGATTCAGTCGTAGAGTGCGTTGGGGCTGGTACCACCGTCGAAGAATGAATAGTTGGTGGTAATTCTGGTTCTCCTTCCGCTTCAACAGGTTCTGGTGATGATGTTCCTGGCTCTGAAGGTTTGCTTTCTTCCTCAATGGAAGGAATCGGCTCCTGTTGCCCAGTTCCCGCATCAGCTAACGTATTTCTGATGATGGTTAGAAGTGGATGCCGTCCTTCTCCACATCGATTATGGAAATCGTCCAAATCCAGAGCCCAGATCATACCACCACCCAAATCCATTTTCCTTATGTACTCAGACTTAAGTTTTATCATTTCTTTATCGTCGAACGAAACCCATTGGTCGCCTTTGTAAGCGTACGGACCCATTCGTCTCTTCGGATCTTGTACCACCGTCCAACCATTCTTGATGTTGTGACAGATTTCGTAGTAGGCTAAGAAGCCGGCAGCTCGTGTGTATTCACCAGCTTGTCCAGGCCCAGGAGCTTTGGCGTTGAGACCATTGTTGGACGCTTTTTCCAAACGGAAGGACTGACCGTAAAGAGGCATACCCATGACGATCTTCCTACGAGGTACACCTTCGGAAATCCAGTAGTGAATGGAGTAGTTCTGGAAGACACGTCGTTAACGAGAGTTTAGCAAATTATAGAGTACTTACAGCATTATAGAAGGCTACAGCATCATCCGGATGGTAATACAAAGGTGCCACGTGGCCGGTTTGTTTGTCCCATTGTCCATGGAAGTCGTATGTCATCACGGCAACCCAATCTAGATTTTCACCAATCGTGCGAACATCGTAACCCGCGTCTATCACAGTCTTGCTAGGTGTGACGGCAGCTGATAGAAGGTAGCCTTTAGGTTTAAAGGCTTGTCTGAGTTCGGTGACCCAAGCGGCAAACGCTTGTTTATCTGAGTCGGGACCTTTCTTACAATCCACCTGCCAACATTTCGGGTATTCCCAGTCGAGATCCAAACCATCGAAGTCCCATTTTTCCAAAAATTCGAGAACATGTTTAATGAAACGGGCTCTAGCTGCTGGGTTGTTCACGAGTCTGGAGTATTTATCACCTTGTGAGTCGTTCCAGCCGCCGATGGCAAGTGACACTTTGACACCTTTGGACTTGTAGGCCGTGACGCGTTTATAGAATTCTGAAAAAAAAAATTAATATACCTGTGGTGTGTACCACAAACCAAACTTACGGTTGTCAAAGTCCGCCCAGGAATCGTGTGCTTTCACTATCAAATTTTCGAAATCTAGGACAGCGAAACCGTAGACGATGTGGGTACAGAGTTCCGGGTCTATATCCTCTGGAAGATATCGTCCCACTCCTTTCCTGTACCAAGCCCAGTTGGTGAAGTAACAAACGACTTTGAAGTAGCCGGATTGTGGTTTTAGAGGTTCTGGAAGTGGTGGTTGCTCGGAAGTCGGTGGAATAGGTGGATGCCACTCAGTGGGTTGCCACTCAGGGTACCCGGTAGTACTACTAGTGGAAGGATTCCAAGTCCAGGAAGTCGTCGACTGAGTGGAAGTTGGCACTGGTTTATTTGTGGTTACAACCAATGGTTTATTTGTGGTTACAATATGGTCTTCGCTAATACTGCTAGTACCAGTGCATTTTGCGTTAGCAGGCCAGTCGCAAAGGTATCTTTCCTGGAAAAATGGATAAGTGAATTTATATTATTTTAGGATAGTCTTACATTATTCCAGTGTAAACCAGGTGCGCATCTATAGCTTTCAAATTTGCCCAAGTTACATTGTAAGTACTTGGCACAGTCACCAGGATGTGGGGCAAATCTATTACCACTACAATCAGAGTAAGGTTGGGGTTGGCCTAAAACATACATTCTAGTTTAATGTAAAAACAATTTGAATTATCACCTGAGTAGCTCATTCTTGGAATCTGATACATCTGAGCTAATTCTTTACGTCCTATACAATTAACTTTGTACTTCCAATCACACATGCCCTGATCTGAATTGTAATACAGTCCAGGTGCACAACTCTGAGGTACCAGTTGTCCGTTAACACACACGTAGAAGTTAGAACAAGACTCGTGAGGGTAATACTGGCCATCTTTACACTTTTCTTCGACAATTTGAGAAGCAGTAGTACCAGTAGTGGTACTAGTAACTCTTTCAGTAGTGCTAGTAGTAGTTGTTTTCGTCTGCCAGTGACTCGTAGTACTTTGAGGTTTGTACGGCGGTTTTGTCGTTGTGGTTGACTGCCACCATGGCGTTGTTGGTTTATGAACAGCTAAAAATTTATAATCACCTTTGTACCTCGAAAACCAATCAACTTACGCTTATTTTCTTGACAATTGGCTTCCTTAGGCCAATCACAGATTTTGCGATCTTTGTTCCAGTGGAGCCCTCCAGCACAATATTGTTTACGCAGTTCCCCAAGGACGCACCTGTAGTACGCATTGCAGTTATTGGGATCTGGTAAGTATTGACCTGGATCGCAAGGTTGTGACGGTTTATCAACTTCGGGCATGACCACAGCTGGAGGCGGAATAGTTGTTCCTTGGGTAGGAGGCCACGACGTCGTCGTTGTCGTTGTCGATGGTCGCGTTGTTGTAGTTCTCCTCGTTGTAGTTGTTCGTCTGGTGGTTGTTCGTGTTGTTGTTGTTCTTCTCGTTGTTGTCGATCTCTTAGTTGTTGTAGTCCACCACGGAGTCGTCGAACCGGTTGTCCACCAGGGACTTGTGGTTGTCGAAGGTGTGGTTGTTGGTTTCCATTCAGGGTGCATGTGTTCTGTGCTACCAGACGCACCAGTATCCACACCAGTGGTGGTTTGGGGCGGAGCAGGAGTGACAGGTTGTGGTGGTTTAGTACAATCTTCCCTGGACGGAGTGTCGGGAATTAAACCAAGACCTCTATTCAAGCTTCGCAGAAGAGGGTAAGAACCACCGCAGCACCGATTGGAAAAGTCGTCCAAATCGATAGTCCATGCAACTGCTCCTCCAAAACCTCTAGTTTTAATATAGTTTGCTTTCTCTTTCACTGATTTGACGTCTTCGAAACCAACCCACTGTTCGACGTGGTAAGCGTAAGGTCCGGAAGCACCTGAAGTGTCACGGTTGACGATCCAGCGCTGGTTTCTAATTCTGTTACAAATTTCGTAGTAGGCCAACATTCCTGGTTGTTTGGTGTATTCACCGGCTTCACCAGGACCAGCTGTTAAAGCCCCTTGGTCGTGGTTGGTAGTTTTCGATAAGGTAAAAGTTTGGCCGTAGAAAGGTATTCCGACTAGAAGTTTTTCTCTAGGGGCACCGCGCGACACCAAATATTCCATAGTGAAGTTCTAGATGTTCATTGTCATTAATAAGTAAGTAGTAAAACTTGAAGAGTACTTACAGTGTTGTACTGTGGGTATTTATCACCTTGACGGTGATAAAGAGGACTCACGTGTCCCGTTTGCCGCTCCCACGCTCCATGGTAGTCATATGTCATCACAGACAGAAAGTCTAAAGCTTTACCAATAGACGCCAAGTCATACGCTACATCGATTACTTCTTTGTAACCAGAAATTGCTGCTGCCAGTATAAACGGAGGATTTTGTTTATCAAACTCTTGCCGCAGTTCCTACAGTCAAAAATTAGGTCAAGTAGTTGACGAATTAAAATTACCTGAATGAGTTTGGTGAAGTTTGGTTTATCAGACGTTGCCCCTTTCTTGCAGTTACTTTGCCAACACACGGGATAATTCCAGTCGAGGTGTAAACCTTTAAAATGATGTCGACGCAAAAAGCTGACAACACCAATAACAAATCGACGTCTTGCAGAACCATCACCAACCAATCGAGAGTACTTATCACCAGCCGAGTCAGTCCATCCGCCCAAAGATAAAATGACTTTTGTATCTTTCAAAGAGGTGACTCGTTCGTAAAGATCTAGAATTTTCAGTTAGAAGAATATTGATAACTGGGTGTAATCTTACTGTTGTCGAGATCAGCCCAGGGGTCGAACTCTTTCAAAAGAAGCTTATCGGGATCCAAGCTTGCAAAAGCGTACACTACGTGGGTACAAAGCCGTTGATCGATGTGTTCTGGGACGAACTTTCCTTCGGCTTTTCTATAGAAAGCCCAATTCGTCATGTAACAAACCACCTACAAGAAAAAAAATTACCATTTGGACCGAACTCCTGAAAGTCGTACCTTCGGTTTATCGTCTTTTAAATGTTCAGCTTTTACAAGACTATCATCAAAAGTCCTCACAAGGTTAGGAAGATGAACGACCTCCCCTGGTCGACACTTCTCACCTAAATTAAACTCGCATCTCCCGCTCGCAGGATCAAACATCATTTTTTCTGCACAACTCAAATGATAGCTAAACCCGGATCTGCAAATATAGTACGCAGCACAATTTCTCGGATCGCTAAACAACCCATCCGACCGACAAGTCCCGTATGGTTTCGTCGGTGGTAACGTACTTTCTTCCATCGGCAATAACTCATTCCCTGGAAAATACAATGTCACGTTGTTTACACGCAAATTCGACTTTACCTCTAAGATGTCGATTAATGGTGGTCAAAAGAGGCCACTTCAACCCACAAACGCCTTTAAAGTCATCCAAGTCAGCAGCCCAAACAAAGACACCTCCCAGATTCATATCTTGCACGTAATTGACCTGAAGAATCATGATGAGAAAATATGTCGATAACATGTTGGATATCAAGGCAATCAACGATTGTGCTGACATCATCGTACCTTCCTTTCGATGCTTTCAGCGTCGTCGTAACCCACCCATTGGTCACCATAGACCATGAATGGAGACCCAGACTCATCGGTACCTTTATGCCACCCTTCGTTTAAAATCATATCGCAGATTTCAAAAAAGGCAAGAAAACCGGGGTTTTGGGTGTAGAAGCCTTCACGTCCAGGACCTTTAATTGGGGCTCCTTCTTGAGTTTCGTTGGTGTATTGGAGGGTGAACGAGCGGCCGAAGAAAGGAATCCCGAGGACGATTTTTGATTTCGGGAGGCCTTTTTTGATCCAGAATTTGACAGCGTAGTCCTAGAATCTTGTAGTAATTTTTGGAAACAAACTAGGACGCAGACTTACCACACTGAGGAAAAGGTCCAAGCCGGTGTCGTGTGGTCTGGAATAAAGATTAGAGTGATGGTCAGCCACTGGTTCTCTTTCCCTGTGGAAATCAAACGCTTGTAAGTTGACGAAATCCACCAGGCTTCCTAATTTTTGGGGTATAAATCCATCTTCAATTCTAAATCTAGACGCGGGTACTGCAATCGAGAGTAACCACCCTCTAGCTTTGAAAATCTCGGAGAGTTCTTCTAGGAAAAGGTTGAGGAACTCTTTGTCGCTCAAACGTCCACCGAACTCTTCAGCTCCTGGATACTCCCAGTGGATGTCCATACCGTCGAAGTTGTACTGTTTGATTAAACTGATCGCTGATCGTATAAAGTCTCGTCGTCGGTTGGCGCTAGAAACCATGGTACTGAATCGGTGGGACCCATCCTGGCGACCTTCCCCTACTGAGATCAGGACTTTAAGTCTCGGGTTAATTCTTTTCAGGCCTGCAACCGATCGATATCCCCCTTGTACGATGTCGAACTCATCGTCGTTAGAAATCATGTTGAAGTTGTGCGGATCTATGGTAGCAAAGGCGTAGATGACGTGAGTGCACGCAAACGGGTCTAAATCTTCCGGACTAAAGGCCAGAGGTTCTTTACGGTAAGAGGCAGCAGCTCGGACGTAGCAAACAACTCTGTCTTCATCGCGAGGGTCGTAAACGGTTTCGACGATTTCTGAGTGTCTCCCTCTTAAAAAAGGGTTATTGGAGTAGAGGCTTCTCCCTCTGGCGAACGACGGGTACTTGAGGAGTTCTTGAGAGTCATTGTCGATCCTGTATGGGGATGCGTACGGAGAAGAGACGTACTGGTCTCGAATTAAGTCTCGAAAGTACTGAAAAGGGGTATACAGGGTTTGTCGTGGTGGATAGTAGTACACATCGTGGTTTTTGAACTCGTAGTTAACATCGTAGTTGTTAAGATCGAGCAACTCTTCAGTGTCGTCTGCGGGTTCGTCAGGAGGTGGTCTTTTCTCTACCGCGTCTCTCAAAGGGAGTCTTCTAGAGTCTTCAATTCTGGAAAATTGGGATGAATTTGGGGAAGAAAGGAGGGTTGTGGCTTACAAATCTGGAATTCTTTCAACAGCTGTACGCAGTGGTAAGGATCTAGTGCCATACAGATCTCGATTTATGTAGGCGGCACTTCGGTCCGAAATTTCGGACCACGTGGGGGTTTTTTCAACATCGTCTCTCCTAAATGTGGGTACGCTTAATGGAGGTATGTGATCTCGTTTCGTCCTCACATTTATTTTGTTAGCGACTCTTTCTTCGGTCGGTGTGAGAAGAAACAAAAGTGCACATAACTAAAAAAGTCATTTACATTTAGCCCCCCGACTAGAATAACTGGTTGCCTAATCATCTAATAAAAATTTTAATGCGAGATTAAGCCGGTTTATTAACAATCGAACTTGTTCGCATTATCATAAATTAGCGTCAGGAAACCGGTATGGACGTGTTATTTATTTATTTATTTATTTATTTATCTCCAAATGAGTTCTTTGTATATTTATAGCAAACAAAGGAGTACGTGATTCTTACGAAATTCTCAACGTGAGTGAATCATGATAGAAAAACGACACTCATCTTAGTAGTTTAGTGTTTAATTAAAAGTACAAGGCACTGGATGATCGGCAGTTTGTGGCCGGTGCGGTCAAAGAAATAAAAATAAACCAAATTAACAGAACACCTACGGAGACGTTTCCTTGTTGTTCTCTGGGGACATTTACCGAGTTGTTTTTACATAAATTTTGACATTTGCATGAATTATTCAATTTGGGAAACCGTTATGTGTAAATTGTTTCAGCCCGAATATAGAGATGTGTGAAAATGCTAAAGCTCCTGTTACTTTCGGTTTTTGCGCGTTTTTTTACATAAAAAAAATCGGTTGCGTCGTAACCGTCACCGCTTGACAATTTTGTCTCTCAAAAGTAAAAAGCTCTTGAAACTCTTGTAATAATAATAATAATAACAACAGTAGGACGATCGGCTGCGTGGTGATCGTCAATGCAAAATTTGACATTTTTTGGTTTTCAATACATTCTTCCGTTAAGTGCACAACCTGTCACTCTAATTACGTCCAAATAACAAGAGTCAACAATTCAATCGCGTGAACCCGTGCTGAACTCGTAAAAAATATGCAAATCGATTTTTTCGACCGCAGATTTCTATCTTCATGTTCGCGAATAAATTATTCAAATGAAGAAGTTAAGTACTTACTGTTATGTGCAGCAGTTCCATGTTAATTGGTTAAACTATTTACACATTTGTTGTGGGTGAAGCACACCAGCAGTCTTATGTTCTCCCCTGAAGAAAAAAATCCACTGTTAACATTGACGCTAGTGACAATGAGGAACGTACGTGCGTGCCACTGACCAATATTTATAAAAAAGTCCAGTCACAATGGGACAAATTAGAATTCGTGACGGTCACCCATCAGACTCTCAAATAATAAAGATAAAGAGTCAAACACGCCTATTTGTCTGGTGTTGCAATTCTTCTTTCCTTTGATTCATTGCGGTGTGAGTAATGGGGTAAGCTTGCAGGAATGCAGGGGTTTGAACCCACGCAAAGGTTTTTTTGGCGCCGATTTTCGCTTTGCATAAATTTGCAAACTGGATGGGCAAATATACTTTGAACTGGAGTCGATGGTAAAAACTAGAAGAGCGGATTATCAGCTTATTTGATGACATAATGTAGGTACATAGGGTCATTGGCTCAATGCACGTCTAGATAAATGGCCAAGAATGAAGAAACTAAAAATTTTTGCTGGATCTGATAACTCAAATATTTTGTTACGTCTGTTGATGTTTTGGCGATTTGTACAACCTCCTCTAGGTGTGGTATCGCACGACAACACTTCCTTTGTTGGTATAAGATAAATATTTTTGTTGAAACTTAAACAGTTTTATCTAGTTGCACTAAACGTCTCAGATTTCAACTTTGTTTAACAAAGATCAACTGGTTTGGGTTGTTCTAATCAATAACTATTGTAGTTTGGTTTGGAACTGGTTTCATGCTTGTCAAAAATAATTTAAAATAATTTGGATACATTAATCAAGTATATAAATTATGCAGAGATGCCACTTGTCACAATAAATAAAAGACGGTTTCTAATCCAAAAAAAGAAAATTGCTTAATTACGACTTATAACAGAAGATTTTTCAAAATCTGATTATTGATGACTGGGTACGTCAAAAATTATAAATTTACCAACTAAAAAATACCAAGATTAAAAGTTTACCCATAAATTTGGAATTTATTATTTAATGGAATCTATGGGCAAAGTCATATATATTCCATATTGTTGTCTTTGTCTAACATCTGACGTCGCTGTAAGACAGCAACAACACTGCTCTGCATTTGAACTGAAAATATTTTCTTTAAAGGTTTCAAAGCCTGGAAAATTTGAAAAATTTTCCACAAGTGCATATAAGTTTATCGGTAAACATTTACAAACACTTAATTTAATTAACGTTTGTATACTAAGAACTTTTTTCAAAATTCTGCACGCGCAATTAATAGGCGGCTTTAAAAAGAAATAATAATAACCTGCACAAAAACTTGCCGAGACGCCGCATTCTATTTTTAATTAAGCTTGCGGCTGCAGGTGGTCGTAACATAAATCTACAAGGTCTAAATGTGAAGTAAAATTTAAAAAATGCCAAATATGTAGTCAAAAATTTTTCAAAGTGCTGACAACTAATACAAATTCGCGGCACCAAAGATCGTCGACTTAGAAACGGAAAAATTATAAACATTTTTTAAATTAATTTAGATGTCTTTTTTTGCCAGCCTAATTTAATCCTCTCATAAATCAGAATTAAAATGTTCAAAAGTCGGTACGTGTTGGACCCTGGTCCCGATTAGCATATCGAGGCAAATTAATTTGAATAAAAATTCGAAAACATAAATCATGGTCAATTTTCGGCGTTTAAGAGCTGACAACACCCACTGACAATTAAAATCACATAAAACTAGAACGGTAGTTCCAAAGTGGTACCAACAAATCAATTGTGAGAAGAACTAAAGAACACAAGAAGTGTACTTACTTTTTGGTTGTACCCAATTTGGCACTTGGATTCCCTTTTGTCAAACTCCACAACACGCACCACAACGGACCAAGTCTCGCTCTCGGTGGTGTCCAGGGCACATCAACTTGTTTGTCCGCCGCCAATCAAACACACAAATGCGTTTCGAGTCCAAAAGACTCATTCTTATAGGCGAAGAGGTGGAGGTAGAGTGTCCAGCGAGCCCGAAAATCATCTTTGCCAATTAGCAATCCGGTCCTGAAAAAGAAGACAAGCATTCGGTCTGCTAAATGGTGGCAGCGACCAGTGCAACCGTTCAATGCATATCACTTCTTGCAATTTGATAGAAATGCCAATGAATCACCTTGAACTTGATCGCTGCGAACACCTTTGAGAGTTTGTTAATTGTACCAGTGTTTTTCCACACAAGGGGAAGAAATGAGGCTGATTGTGGGGTGCTTGCGGTGTTTGGGTTCAGAGGTTAAGTTGTTGACTGTATGCCGGGTTATTAATAAGGTGACCACGAACTTGACCTTTGTGTTTAGCACCTGCGAAGGTGCGAGGTTGCTTGAACTACCTCTCACTGGTCGAACGGTATTGCTTTTTTTGGGTAAATTTTGACCCTAAAAATCGAGATGGGATTGAGATTATTTTGGCGCTGAGGTTTTTATGAGCTATAAATTATAGAGATGGAATTGGGTTTTCTAATTTTAGATGAGTTTTCGAATTTTTAATGAGAACTAAAACGGTGTTTGGTAAAATAAGTATAACAAAATTTTGGGCCGGTATTTCGAACTGGTCTTTTACACTTATAATAAACTTATTAAATTTAGAGTATTTGGCACTATGATACTAAAAGAATGATTAAATCGTAACGTGCATTTAACTAAACCACTTGATCTAACTCCAATTTCAAAAAATGTCTCAAATTTGACGACGTTGTCAAAACCCAGAACGACAATTCCGGCAATTCATCACCATAAAAAGCTCCAGATAGTACTTGACCATTCAACCATAATTAATTCATCAAATTACAACATTTTTGTAATAACACACGACACAAAACATTTTTTCGGCTATAATTAATTATGAACCATTCAGTAAATGATAGCCAAGAAGCAAATTACTGTCTTCCTGCACACATTTAAAATTTTCTTTCCAACAATCTTAATTATTGTACCAAAAAACTGGTCGTCGAAATTCATCTCAATTTATCACTCGTCTTTAGTGTGTTTTTAATGAACACCAGTACGCTACACAACCACAATTTATTTCATATCTCATTTTTTTATAAAAGCCTGCACGATAATGACATAATTCGATAATCCGTATAACAAATTCGGAATAACTCCATTCGATTTTTACGAGCTATAAACGACTGAATTTTATTATTTTTACGTGTCTATTTAATCAAGTTCTGAAATTAAACTTTACGTTTTCTTATCTTGCTTCCTCACCGCCGGATCGCAATCGACACCTATTTTTACTTAGTTTTCCAAATATTTGACGTCAAGCCCACATCCTTTCCCCCACTTCCAATTCACAAAGCCACAACAACAACACAATAAAAAATGGATTTTAGTGCCATTTATCTTCTGTAGCTCGTTAGTGTTATCTGCGTAATATCTTCATTTTTTGTTCCTCACCATCTACTTTATTACCATGATTTCGCGCTTCTGTTCGATTTAGATTCTAGTTTTCTAAAATCACCTATTCACGGTTGAGCTTAACGACACCATCTTAGTGACATTTTCGCTCAATCCTTATTTATATTCATTGGACGAAATGAATTAAAAATGTACAAGGTGATTCCATAAATTTTCTAGACTTCGCATTGTTGTCATTATGTATATTTGATGAGTTTGATCGAATTGATGTCCGTAGCCATCAATATTAACCGTAAAAGCCTATTATTATGGATATTGACCCTCAGGTGGTTTATAGTGTACTACACACTAGTTGCCTATCGGTGAATGTAATTACTATGTGTTGAATATTTAAAGATACAGGGTGGCTCAAGTTTCGTTTTTTACTTAAAGTAGGTCACTAACGTGGAATGTAAGTACTATAAATAAGTAAGCGATATGTGATTATTTTTTGCGTCATTTAGTCCGATAGGTTTAGATCGATCCCACACATATGCATATTTAATGTTAACAGGGAGTTGACATTTTTCTATAGCTCATTATGTAAAATGGAAGGATGTTTTTTTAATAATTGTTTGATTATGTATTCTTGAATATTCAAAGAATTTCGATGAAACGGATGAACAGGACTTGTGTTTTAAAAATCTTGGTTTATCTGAACTTAACTGTTTGTGAGTTGTAGACGAATTTACACCGAGAGTTCTTGTAAATCAGCCGAAATTGATGTTTTAGATGCTATCGGCATGATGTATTTTTTTTTTAATGACAATTGCGAATTATAGTTATGGTCGATGTATCATCAGTCTAAAAACTCAGGACTTTCCATATCCTGTCATTGTATGACGAGTACAAACGTCTTAGAGTAAATACTAAGAAAGTAGCATTTGTTTGAAGAATTTAATGGGTTTTTAAAGTAGTCAAATAATTAACTTTTCAGTATACCCACATTCTTAGAAGTATGCATTTGTTACAATTTGCAAAACAGTTAAAATTTCAAACACTGAAAATGTACTTGACAGGTTACATAAAGTTATCGAAGTTTTTGTTTTGAAATCCTAAAATAAATAAAAGCTCAGGGAGGTGCACTGATAATAATTTACGTTGCGTAAATACAATCTGTTTGCATAGATTTTAAAACTGTGACTCAGTTTGAAGTAAATAAGTTGTTTAATATTTCGTACTGGGTGAAATTAAAAAAACTAGATTTTTTTCGTTCTGGTGTAGTATTTTCTAAAATAATAACATTTATACAGGTTTGCAATAATTCAAATAAAGTAAACATAATTTTCAGATAACATTTATCGTAACCGTTTGAACACACAGTTTTCGACTCGTCTCATGTAATTTATATTGAACTTTTATCGTCCGCCACACTCCTACATAAATATTAGATAATATACATAAAACCAAAATTATACACAAATCAGTTATTGATGTAAATAAAGATAAAAAAATATGGCATAATAAATCATAACATAACTCATGTTCTCTCACTAAAAGTGTCGCTGCACATAAAAGACACCATAATATAGTATATTTGTTGCACGTGTTTAAACAAAAAATTTTATAAAAGACACAACAGGAGATTTACACTACTAATGTTAGTAATAGTTGTACACATTTTTCAATCATCCGTGCAAACAAATGCAGTGTACTCAGAACTCATAAGTTCATTAATAAATGAAACAAAGAACAACGGTCTTAGGTTGGAACCTTGATGACGGGACATATTTATGTGATATGAATTCATTATAAAAAACATAGTTTACTCGAAATGACGATGCAAGATCAAAAGAACTACGCTTATTTCTTGTAATGTCATTTCAATACCGACGTGACCAAGCGCACTGGAAAATCCGACGATGTTTGTCCAATTACTTACATTAATACTCAATTAGTTATTCTTATTTTTTATCAACAGTGTAAATCTAAAAGTAGTGGATGTACGTTTGACGCACATTTTGATTTCAATTATGTCCAGGGCCAGATCAGATTTGGTATAACACAGAAAATTCTCGATTTCCAGATAAATCCACCCCTAGAGTACGAAGAAATAGGTCTCCCGTTTCCGTCTGACTATCTGTCCGTCTGTCTGTCCATCTGTCTGTCCGTCTGTCTGCCGTCCCGGATTTTTATTAATGCCATATAATCTCCGAAAGTACTGGACCGATTGTTGTATATATACTATCATGTAGATAGTAAAACGCTAACCAAAATTTGTCTAATTATCCCCACAACAACGTGACGACATCCCCGCAAAATTTTGTATAATTAATATACCTTAAATTTGATAAAATATTATACTCCCACACTTGTATTTTGTGAATCCACCCTGCTTTTGTTTATTATTATTATTATTCCTGAGTGTAAGCAAATAAAGTATTGTAATCGAATCTATTGGGGGGCGACTGGCTCTTTTATGTTTTCTCGACATTTCATGACCCATAGAGTATGAAAAATTAGGTCTTCTGGTTCAGTCTGTCTACCGCCTATTCAGATTTTTATTAGGCAGATAATCTCCAAAACTACCGAACCGATTGTATTTTATATGTATGTGAGGAATTTCGTGTAGATGCTAAAACGCTAACCAAAATTTGCCCAATCTCCCTATCAATGTCATGACGTCTCAAAAAATTTTATAACAAAGTTTATAAAATAGCATACTCTTGTATTTGTTTTAATTAATGCAAATTCGCAAAATCAATTTTTTTAATTTTTCAAAGAAGAGGGATTTGTGACACTGCACTTCGGAGGCGAGAGAAGTCCTGTCGAAATAACGTTCGACCATTTTTTTAAATATATGGAGGTTTCTTTTAAAAACGGGATAGTTAAACATATATATTATCAGTTTCTTGTTAGGAAAAGAAGACTTCGTATATTAAGAAAAAATGAACAAAATATAAGCCCCGCCCACCCACCCGTTCTCAATTGTGATGAATGTTTTATTCATCGTGAGCTGAAGGGCGGAGATTAGTTACAAAATCCTCATTTCTCTACAAGAAATTACTGTATGAAATATGTTTTTAAGCATAGAATTTTCTAGAGAAATAATATTGATGTTACAATAATCAAACTCCGCCGCTCGGTCTGATTAGGAATGAAAAAAATCACAATTGAGATCAGGGTGGGTGGGTGGGGCATAATGTTTGTTTTTTTTTCAATATACATATAGAGTTTTCTTTCGAGTACGGGATAGTTAAAATTTTTCAGTTTCTTGTTGGGAAAAGAAGACTTCATACCTATATTAAGAAAAAACGGACAAAATATAAGCCCCGTCCCCCCACCCCTTCTCAATTGTGATGATTTTTTTATGCATTGTGAACCGAGGGGCAAAAAACTGCAAAATCTAAAAATTACAACAAAAGTTGGAAAATCGGAAAATTTAAAAATGAAAACTGGAAGAGATATCGTAAAATCGAAGAAAAGAAAAACAAAAAATTGAAAAATTGGATTGGTGCAGTGTTGTACTTGCTAGTTTAACTTTTCCATTTAGAATATTTTATAAGCAAGCATAGCCCCACCCACCCACCGCCTCTTCATTCCAGTGATTGCTC